CCGAAAGATGCCCAACCTGAAGAGAAAACTCCGTCGATTTGGTCTGGTTTCTACAACAAGACACTCCGAGAACGCATGGATGTCCTGTCGCTGATGTATCCGTCGGCTGTGCCCCGTCGATCCAGTGATACCGGCGACTTGCAAGGGTCGCCCCAGCGCGCTCCACGCAAGTCCAGCCTTGGACAAGTTCCCAGCTTGAGTTTGAATGCCGATGAGATCGGACATCTGCCATCGCGAACGGCTAACCTCATGATTGAGAATTGCATTGGAGTACTTGGGATTCCATTGGGGTGCGTGCACCAACCGCCACTTGCATAGCACTCAAAATTTTCCTTTGTGTAGGCTTGGTCTCAACTTTATCATCGACGGTACGCCCTACTCTGTGCCGATGGCTGTGGAGGAACCGTCGGTTGTGGCTGCTGCGTCGAGCGCTGCCAAACTAGTTGCCTCGCATGGGGGCTTCCGCACGGCGACTTCAGGCAATGTCATGACGTCGCAAATTCAATTGGTCGACATCAAAGACATTCCCGCAGCCATGCAAGCAATCCACGATCACCGGAAGTCTCTGATCGAATACGCCAACACGCACTTGTGTGGTAACATGGCGCGTCGCGGTGGCGGAGTCGTACACATCTATCCCCGCCTCGTACAAGACCCCTCGACATTAGACTCAACCGATGGCTGGTACGCCGCCGCGGCCGACGAACTCCGCATCACGGCTTCCGGCTCCACCCCGTTCATCGTGGTGCACATTGACGTTGACGTCTGCGAAGCCATGGGCGCGAACATCGTCAACACAATCGCTGAGGGCTTGTCTAGCCAGGTGGCTGCTTTGACCAACAGCCGCGCAGGTCTTCGTATTCTGACAAATTTGTGCACGGCCCGCCGCGCGCGTGCGTCGTTTTCGATCCCCGTGGCGTCCATGGGGTGGAAGGGCACTGAAGGCAGTGTCGTGGCCCAGCGCATTCTCGAGGTATTTTTGCGACTTGAAGGAAGAAGCTGTTGTGTCAAGGTCCCCAACACCGTTTGACTATAGGCCAATGATTTTGCCATTCGCGATCCGTACCGAGCTGTTACCAACAACAAGGGAATTTTGAACGGCATCGATGCGGCGGCCGTGGCGACGGGCCAAGACTGGAGAGCTATCGAGGCCTCTGCCCACTGCTTTGCTAGCCGCACCGGGCGATATACCAGTCTCTCCCAGTACCGAATTGAAGACGGCTTCCTCCATGGCTATCTCGAGCTGCCTCTGTCGGTTGGTTCAAAAGGTGGTGCTCTGCAAACCCATCCAGGTTACGCCTCGACGCACGCGATCCTCGGTCGCCCCACGGCCCAACAGCTCAGTGGCATTTTGGTCAGCGTTGGTTTGGCCCAGAACTTTGCTGCCATTCGCGCCTTAGCCATCACGGGGATCAACCAAGGCCACATGGCTCTGCATGCGCGCAACATTGCCGTGGCCGCCGGCGCCCCCAACGAGCTCGTCACCGAACTCTGTGGTACGTCAACCGTCCTATATGATTCGTCCTGTATTGCGGACTCTTTCTCTGGACTGGATTCCTCATGCTACAGTGACCGTAGCGTACATGCTCGCGCGAGGCAGCATTAACGTCGAGACGGCGAAGGCATACTTGAAGGCACACGCGGTCTACCACGACATCATTCAGTCAGATGCTCCTCAGCTCGAGAAGAAGCGCCAGCCCAGCATGCTCTACGTCGAAATCAACGTTCCAGGACTGGCAAAACCCGTCAGCGTGAACCTAGCCTTCCTGTCAGTGCGTGGGGACATTCCCCAGACCATCGTGGTCTCCAAGTTGAAAACAAGCTCGAGCCAGCCGACCTCCATGCACGCGCAGTTGCTCGGGGACAAGGGCTATGTTCAACTGGAGCGAATGTTCATGTTTCTCGCGACGATGCGTGTCGTTGTGGGGTCGGACAAGGAGCGTACGAATCTCGAGTTGCAGAACAAGTTGCTCCTCTTGTCGATTCTGATCAACTTGGTCATGTACCAACTCATGAAGAAAGACAAAAAATCGTGCCAGGCGTTTGCAAACCAACTCGTGGTCCACGGGATGGACGTGAAAACTGCGACGGGAAGCGAACACTGGACGGAAGCGTTTTTTGCGACGCAGGACGACCCAGTCCTGAGCACGGGGCTGCCTTTGCTGCTTGCGCTATGGCAGGTGTTCCATTACCACATTGAACAAGAAGTGGCCAACCCGATCCTCCAGCAAGCGCTGGTCGCTGAACAGGCTGCTCTCGTCGACTCGATTGCCAACTGGCAGTCGCCACAACGCTCGAACGACGCCGCGGCCAGCTTCGTCGAGTACATGGAGAAGCATGCGAAACGGTGGCAAGCCACGATGTTCTTGCTCGTGGATTGTCTTGCGCTCGACAACCAGAGCCTCACTCCTGCGCGTCTTGACTTTGTCAAGCAAGCCGGCCGTTACATTGAATGGCAGGGCACGGTCGCCCACGACTTGGCGCGATTTGAACGGGCTTACGTCGATCCCGAAGAGCGTAATGTGTGCGTGTGGTTCAAATCTCATGTCTACCCCGACTGCACCATGGACGAAGCGTCCGTCGCCTTCACCAAGCTATCCAAAGACAACGCTGCTGCGCAATGGTCCTCCCTCGAGCACCTCAACAAGACCCATGAGGAAAAAGTAGTGCACTTGGCAGCCCTCGAGAGCGTGGTCAAGACGATTGTGTTGCATTATGGAGATGACGCGAGCAAGTCGCGCAAGCTCTCGTTCTAAGGCGTTGTCGATGACTCCAACACGACGTGGGCAATCGTATAGCTGCCGTCGTGGCTCAGCGAAACATGCGCGGCCTATACGAGTTGTTGAATCGACTGTATATAATCATAGAGAACTATCTGGTTTCACCGTGACGTTGAGTGCGTTGGCCAGGTGCTTTGTCGACCCGTCGAATACGAGCGCGGGGGTGGGGGTGGCTGGGAGGTGCAGCGGGAGAAGGCTTCTGTCATGGGGACGCAAAGTGTGCGAAGGAAGGTGCTTGTCTAGTCGTATCTCTGGAAACGGAATTCGCCATGATCTGAACGCTTTGTACGTCGCTTCTTTCACCGCCCATCTGTGGAATGTGTCAGCGAGGACACTTGGGGTAGCTTCACCTGTTGGCAAGGAACTGCGTCTGGGCGAGGCTGTCCGATATAGCGCGGAACTGAGCGATCTCTTGTGGGTGGAGGTACCGCCGCAAAAAGCGCTCGCCATGCTTGTCGAACGTCCGCCGCAAGCGGCCACTTTGAACCACGTCGACGCCGATTCCGACGATCGCCATGATCGGATTTAAAAAACATCGAGAATGTCTTAAAATTCAAAACGTCTGTTCGGTTGAAGCATTTGTATGGGATTGATGTGTTTTTAAATACTTGACTGTATTTGATTTCATTGTCCCGATGTAGTCGAATTCCACAACAGCATTGAAACCACCACCACAGCAGCAGCTATAATTAGACTCCGTGGTCTTTGTGGCCATCGACTCACACAATCCATTGCCCACCTCAGCACCCGACGACAGCGATGGACCGCGTGCGCATTCTGTTTGGCGCTCCGTCGTCTTCGACATCGACTTCCGTGGCGTCATCTGTTGAGGCCGCTGTCGCCGCGGTCACCATCAAGATGCCCAAAGGCACGACTGCCCCAACAGAAGACACGTTGTCTGACATGAGCTTTGGATGCAAGTCTTTGACCAAGATGCAGCGGTTGTACGGATTCGCCTTTTGCTTTTGTGTAGGCTACCTCATCAACTTGCTGGTACGTTGTTCGTCACGCTTCTAGACATATTGTTGTCGATCGGTGCTCAGCATTTCATGTTGCAGTCCACGTTTGCCCTGCTCGGGGGCTCTCGCAATGGAGCCAAGTTTGGGATTCTGTACTCGATCGGTAGCGTGGTGTCCCTTTGCGGGTGCGCCCTCCTTGCGTGAACTTCGTTCGTCCTTCTGACTCATCCGTGTGTCTGTCCTTCACACAATCAGGTCGGGGTTCTTGGCTGGCCCTGCCGAACAGGTCAAATCGATGGCAAAGCCAGTGCGCCGCATCGCGTCGGCCATCTACCTCTTGTCGATTTTGCTTGTGCTGGTGATTGCAGTCACGGTACCCTCGCTGTCAACACTGATCGTGCTAACGGCGGATGGAATGGTAGAATCCTCAGCTTGGCCTTTTGATTCTCTTCCTCGCGATGATGCAATTCGGCGCAGCCGTGTGGTACCACCAGTCATCCTGTTCAACACATCATGGACCTTGACGCAATGATTTACAGGTACAACGCTAGCTACATCCCGTACGGCCGCAAGGTCCTCAAGTCGATCGGGTCCAAGTGTCTTAGCAGTGTGGCGTAAAACTTTTTCACCTCTCTGCATCGACAAGCTTCAACACTTCGCATCAATCTATTCTCTGTTCCCATCGCATGGCTTTACCTCTCGGCAGCACGAACTAGTACCCGTGCGACCACTTGAACGTATACTCGAGCGACTCGCCCGCTTGAAAGTGCGACAGGTTTCGCGCAAACACCCCCGCGACATCCTCCGGCATACTCAGCGCCGCAACGTGGGGCGTAATCACAACGTCCTTGCGCACCCACAACGCACTCTCAGCGGGCAATGGCTCGACTGCAAACACGTCCAGGACAGCACTCGATAGCCACGACTTGTCCAGTGCAACGACCAATGATGCTTCGTCGACCACGTCGCCGCGACCAACGTTGATGAAGCAAGGCTTCTTGGTCTGACAGGCTTGGAAGGCATTGCCGGAGAGGAGGTTGCGGGTCTGTTCGGTACTCGGGAGGACGTTAACGACGTAGTCTGCCACGGATAAAACCTCATGGAGGTCCGTCGTCGTTGGAATTCTCGACGTCAAAGTACCAGACGGCGTTCCAGACGAACGCTTGAGCCCGATGACGCGAAACCCAGCCGTAGACACGAGCGTTGCGATGACTGTGCCAATGTCGCCGAAACCCAAAATCCCAACAGTCACGTTCTGAAAGTGCCGATACCGCATGTCCTTGGATCGGAATTCCTTGTTTGCCTGATGGACAGGTGCCAAGTGGAACATGCGCTCTTTTGATATGATCCATCTACGAAAGCAGCGTCAATATCACTGACTTGAACGAGTAAAGACGAACCAACCCCAGGACGTATTGCGCCATGTGCTGGCCCATGATCCCGCCTGCGCGTGAGAGGGTGAAGTCTCGGCGCGGCTGAGTCAAGATAACTTCTACCCCAGCAAACGTTGACTGGACCCATTCCACGCGCGGGGCATGCGGCAAGGCCGAAATCACAAGCTTGGGATCACCCAAGATGACCTTGGCGTTGCGAAGCAACTCCAAAGTTGCCACGTCGATCGATCCTGGTCCAGAAAGGACGGCGCTGTTTACAGGCACAACGTCAATGACTGCACCAGTCGAGGAAGGCAATAAAGCTAGCGCCGCGCGGACCTTCTCCGACAGCAACGGGATATTGGAAATCACGGGGATGCGCATCGAGGTTGCCGACATCTCGCGTTGGAACTTTCCACAATATTGATGATCGTCTGAAGGCTGTTACTGTAGTATAAAAAAGTAAATATATATATTTAATATTCAGTTCTGCGCTCTATTTGAAAGTCAAATAGCAACAGGCTACAAATTTTCATATATTTTTTCACATTCGCACATATTCCTGTGTTAATAGGACAAAAAGAGTGAAAATAAGCAGATTTTGTAATTCGTTGTGATTGGAGAACGTGATGCATCCGGATACCACGTGCCGGTGCACACGACGTTTCTGCCCCGGAGTACAGTGCCATGGAAGACCATGATGCATTGAGCTTAGGTGCGAATACAACACCGGCGGTGGTGCCGGTGGCTGCGCCCGAGGTCTCCTCTGAAGATGTTAACTTGGATGCTGCATATGACGACATTGAATACATGGATTTGAAAGTGCCAGGAAAGGTTGATCGCGCGAAACCCGAGAAGAAGACCAAAGCCATGACAGACAAGTGCTGTCCGAAAGTTGCGTCGTTGACAAGCGAGATGAAAGCGTCTAGAGCCGTGACGCGAGTGACCCAACGCCTGGGTCTGGAGCGAGTGCATGAAATCCAAGTGGAGTATGCTTCTCTTAAGTCCAAATTTGGCCAACACGACTACGAGAAGGCGAACGCGATGATCCGAAACCTCATGTCGATGGGATTGAGTCAAATTGAAATCCGCGGTATCCTCGGCGTGGGTGGATATCGGTTGCAGCGACTATACAGGTATTTGCACTCACTTTCCACCGCGTGCCATGCCAGCTCATCCTTTGACGTCCATGCAGCTCTCACGCTGTGAAACAAACGCCGACGACATATGCTGCGGCAGTGGTCACTGAAGAGCTCGCAATTCCACCGCCTCCATCAGTTCTAGCTTCCCCATCTTTAAGCACAGGTGACCAGGTGGTGCACATTCCTATCCTTTCATCAATTCCCCACCTTGTGGACGTCGTGACGAAAAAGGTGGCCGCCTTCCCGCTGGTGGCATCTCGCGTTTTGTTTGTCGATATCGACGTGGCTGGTCTGTCTCTCGAAGCTGCTTCTCCTAAGGCCATGGTCCATGCTGCCAAGCTCGAAGCGGCCGACGTGGTCTTGGCAGACCCCGCCGTCAGTGGCCTTGTTTTGCCATACACCCCGCATCTCAAGTGGATGCAGTTGTCGTCGGCTTCACTAGACGACGGGTTGTTTCTGCATGCCAGGCGGGACTTTATCTGCACTCGCGCCGGGGGAATCCACGGACCGCACGTAGCTCAGTTCGTCGTCGGGTGCGTCGTGTTCTGGATCATGTGTCGAACTGACGCAGTGGATCGCAGACATATCATTGCCACAGAGCGATTTTTCGTCAAAGCCAAGGATTACCAGACCACACGGTCGTTCGCATCACAAGCGTTGGCGTATCGAAACCCCAAGCACGTGACAGTCGGCATCCTTGGCCACGGTGACATTGGCATGCATGTGGCGAAGCTCGTGGCGGCAGCGGGCTTTCGCGTGATGGCGCTCAAGCGACGATGTCGACCATCGCCTTGGTGGAATGGTCAGGATGACTTTGGGTTCTCTGTGTACGATTCAATCGCCAAGGTCGTCGAGGCCGCGGACTACATCGTAAACACACTTCCTCGCACCCCCCACACGCACAATTTGTTGTCCGAGGCCGTGTTGCGCCTTTGCGTGAAGAAGGCTCCTTGCTTGATTGACCTGAACCCGTGGAATGTGATCGACGAAGCGACTCTCATGCATGCCCTGGAGCACAAGTGGCTCTCCAGCGCGATCATGGACCTGCCGATGCCTGTGCCACCGACAAGTCAACTGTGGCACCATCCCAGCGTGACGCTAACTCCGCGCGTATCCCCGCCAAATCAAGCGGAGGCGGTGGCCGACGTGTTCATTCAGAACTTGTGGCATTTCATGGGGCACAGACCGATGCAATACGTCGTGGATTGGAGTCAGGGATATTGAGTGCATGCGATAAAACTATGGCACACGTGTGAAATCTCAATGAAGAGAGCTCGGTGGAACCGCCGTTTGTTTCTTCGTCAGTGTGCATGGGATCATGAAACTAGGTAAAAATAGCTTGTTGTTAGGTTGGCAATTCCGACATGCCGAACCATCGGGCTCGCGCGGTTGGCCCAGACGACCCGCGCAAGGCCTCGCTGGCGACGCAGTTTGAGCTCAAGACCGTCAACGGCAGTGCGTTTGAGAGATTGGTGGCTGACAACGGCCCGAACGTCGTGCATTGCCGCCAACTCCTGCTCAAACCCGTGGAGAATCGAAATGTTGAGGACGTGCACACGGTACTTTGGCATTGCTTTGGCTAGAACTCTGCTTGCGACTGCCATTTCATTTAGATTAAAATGTTCTTCAACACGTCCAAAATCGGCAAGTACTGCGCGCACCTTGACCTCCGTACGTAGTTTTGCTGACGAGGGCCAACTTGTCCTGACGAAATTCTTGCTCCATCCTCGTCGACTCACCAACTCTCCTCTGGCCAAATCTATGTAGAAAAGGTAAAGCTCGACGGTGCTGGGACTGTCCAGCAGTCACAGCGCGATGTGCTGGGGTGACGTAGGAGGCGGAGTTCTTCAAGTCTCTCCAACTCGAGATCGTCCACGCGGCCAACACGTACGTGTTTCGCCAGGTTTGTAAATCTTTCGCGCGTGTGTGCGGCCGACATGCCTACACTAGGGCGACATGGGCGATAAATTTTATGTCATCTTTTCGGGCACGGGTACGTTGCACAAACCGCCACGGACCGCCAGCAATCGCTCTCGTCTGGTCGCTCGTGATGACCCCTCATGTTCGTTCCTTGACTCTTGTGTATGCTCCAGTCCAAGTGCGCAAAGCCATGGTCAATCCAAACGGCGACAGCGTAGAGAATGCCGTGTGCGAACTTCGTCCAGGCGACTGCTTTGGCGACCGCGCTCTCACGGGTGCATGGAACGAAATGCTTCCTCGAGAAGGTGCCGTGCTACGGGCATGACGCGTTTTTGTTCCAATGGACGATGGCTTGTAGCGTCGATCATTACCATTTCCAACTTGACAGAACTCGCCTTCATGGACAAGATATCGTACTCGCGCGTGATGCGGGACAGGACGTCTGAGATGCACCTCGATATGCCCAAGGTTTGTCGTCTTCGTCAGCCAAGAGGAGACATGACCATGCTGCGTGGAAAAGGTCGCTGGTCTCGACGTGGCCAAGCGCTTTCGCTCCAACAAAGACATTGTTCGAACGATATTCCTCCAGCCCGCCCACGAGCGCACCGAGCGCGACCTCAAGTTTGCTGTCGAGTACCTAAAAGGTTAGTAGGATGCCGTGCTACAACGCCTCACGTTCATTTTGTCGCGTGTGGGGTTTGTGGCAGGCGTCAAATTTTTCGCCAGGTTCTCGTTCGAGGTCCGGAAGCAATTGTGCAAAGCCCTGCGGCTCGTTTGCGCATGGACCAACACGGTCGTATTTGAAGAGGGGCACCTGGGCCACCACTTTTACATTCTCTTTGGCGGCAGCGTCGAAGTTTTGATTAGCACCACGAACCGGTCACGAGAACGTCCTTGGAAAGCGCGCGCGATGGTGCTGACAGTCGTCGGTCGGATATGTAGGTACGACGCCACTGTGCAAAACGTTGTGTCGACGCTCAAGGAAGGCGACACATTTGGCGAACTTGCGTTGTCAGAGGAGAATGGAGTTCGCCGCGCGACGGTGGTCCGGTGTCTTCACGTTAGGCGACGACCGTTGGGCTTGATATGGCGACATTAGGTCGCAACAGAGTACTCGGAGTTTCTGACGTTGAGCCGCGACGAGTACATCCCGTTGATTCAAAAGTACCAAAACCAGTACCACACCGAGTACGTGCGCATGCTGCAGCAGAACCCATACTTTATGGGCGACGCATGGGACGTCCACACGCTGGAAGCGATGTGCGCGGTCATGGCTGAAAAGTACGTGCCCTTTCAAGGCGTGATCTGCGAGCAGGTGCTCCATGTGAAGTTCCAAAACGATCGATGACTGGCGGCGCAGGGGTCGCGTGCGTCCGAGATGTTTATCGTTGTGCGAGGAGAATGTGTTGCCCAGTATGACACGATGGACCCATATACTAACGAGGTATTGGAATCGAAGCGCCCGACCTCAGCGCTGGACCCGACAGGCCATCCAAGTTGGGCTCGAGCGGTATGGTCCGAACAGCGTCATCGGATGCGCCGAGTAGGTCTTTTTCCCATGCACACGATGCATCCCCAAAGAGATTTGGGATGCTTCACAGCACGCTAGAGCGACGGCGGGCAAGTTCAACGACGTGTACATTCGGCCAGCGTCCATCGTGGCGGCGTCGCCAGTAAAGGTGCATGTGATGCGCGCCATGGCTGTTGTCATGGATGTCGAATAGGTGCTCGTGTTGTCGCGGTTTGACATTTTCCACCTCCTTTCCCCCGAAGCTCGCGACGGACTCCAGCGGCGGAGCAACGATCCAGACGCGGAGACCCTCGACGCGCGGATCTTAAAGACGATCGTGTGGGAAAAGTACCGAACCAACTTTATCGCGGACTTGCACGTCGAGAAGGCATCGTCGGCGGGTCGTTCGAACACGAAGTCGACGCCAGAGCTTCGAATGAAGGATCTTGCACTTGTCCAGGAAAAGACGGCAGAGTCCCCTTCAAAGCTCCGAGGGAATTTACCGCTCGTCAAGCGTACGATGGACCTGCACGGCAGGAAAGTGGTCGAATCAGGCGAGCTTCACCTTCATCCTCGACCCAAGCTCACGTACTCGACGTCGCATGGACACTTGAACCTTTCCTCAACACACTTGCACGGTCCCTGGACGGCCAAGGCAAAGCCGCCAGCGGAGATTCTCGTTCTGGACTCGACCCATGCCGCCCCCACACTTTTGGCAACGTCATCGTCGATGCCAGAGCTGCCCCCCTTGACAAACCATCGCGCTCCATCCACGTCGCCCCATCCCTCTGCTTTAGCCCCTTCTCCTACTCCCGTCATGGGGATCTCGCACTTGAATCCGAATCAGCACATTCCATCGACCCCCGACTCCACCCGGACAAAGACTCCAAGTGGGGCGACGAGTGGACCCCACGCCACGCGACAATTCCTATGGACGCCGCTGCACGGCGTGTACCAACCGTACGCTGTCGTCGGGTTCAGCCACCCAGTCGATACGAAATCGTACGTCGCGTTTCGAGTGTGCGGCAAGTTTCGCAACCTGGATGCGGCTCTGCGAATGTTCCACGACGTGTGCAAGCTAGAGCCGATGTCCGTGAATGCGTTCGAAGACCACAGCAACTTTGTCGTGTACAAGGATGGCGAGGTGAGCCTGGCCTTGCGCAACATGCACGGCGATCGGCCGGACAATGTTACCGAGACAGCGCCCCCTGGCCTTCAACCCACGCAGCCGCACCACGTCCGCCATCATCCCTTGAATGCCCTGGGTCATGCGACCAATGCAACTGCAGCAGGGCCGTCGGCGAAAGACCCACCACCGCGACTCCGCCAAAAGCGACACAGTGTCGTGGTGACGTCGCCCGACTCGAAACTACCGCTTCCGCGCACCGAAGAGGCCGCGCTTCCAGACAGCCGCACGATTGCCCATGGCATTCGACAAGGCAGGGACCCCGACGTGATGGGCCAGCGGTACGCATGCATTGGTCTTCGGCATCACGCGGACAGCGACGACTTGCATGTTCATGTGTACCATTGCTTTCCCACGCATCAAAGCGCGATCCGTCACTCCAAGCACCTCGTGTCGATGCTGAATGCCTTTGCCGACAACAGTTTGTACGTCGTGCCGCTGTTTGACTGGATCCATCGTGAAGACATGGACCGATATGAAGGTACGTCGACCGATTGTCGTCGATATGACATGGGTCGCTGCAATAGCTCGCAACACCGACTTGGACAGCATTCTGGACGGCAAGCTGACCATTTCCAAATTTAGCGGGTGGAAGGCTCGCAAAGACGCCGTGCGGAAGCGCCAGGGCCACATGTACCATGCCTAAGCCATGCCAATGGAATCCATGTTGTCCAAGACACTGCAGGGTATTTTGATGCTCGTTAGCCCCACGGACTAATGCTCGAGACGAATCCCTTCACGGACGACCACATTCCCACGGCGGGTTTCATAGCTGGAGACGACAGAAACGATCCGTACTCCTGTCAAACGCATGGTCAGGATCACTCGCTCAAACGTTGTGGACAAGCGGCAGACACAAATCGACGCAGTGCAACTTACATCGTGATCGTCGTCGTCGGAAAGGAGAGATTCCTCCAAGTGGCGTTTGTCGGGGGACCCTGTGGGTCCGGTCGTAGAGGGTTCGGGATTCAAGGCAGATACAGACGGTCGCTGCGACGTTACCGCTGCGTCGCCGCGTGGCCGCTTCACGACAAAGTAGACGGAAAAAACGACGCAACTCACCGCGACACCCATGGCAACTACCAACTCGATACACATGACAATGAGCATCGCCTGGCGATCGATGGGAGGGGTGTCTGGGGACGGCGGGTTTGTCACGTCCGCGAGGCCTAGGTTGACCACGACCGCGGCGGCCATCGTCGACGCCGACGTTGACGTTGTGGCTGGGGGGTGCCCTGTGGTTGCGTCAAACACCGGCATGAATTGGAACTGGGACGCAGAGATCAGCGCAAACGTCCGATGCAAGAGGTAACGTGCGATGCCGTGCATCGAATTCTACGTCACGAGCACATTAGTCTTGGTGGTGGTTGGAGTTACAAACCCGACCTTCAGCAGACCACGATACAACATGTAGTTGTGAACCATCAGACCAACGCGGGAAGTTGTTGTTGCCGAGCGCACGTCGCTTGCAGCCGTCGCTATCGAATTTTCCAGGACAAATGCTCGACGAGAGCAACTACATTGCAGCAGCAGCTGACGCACCTCGTTCGGTCGGCGCGATGGCTTCGCATGGATACATGGACACCGGAAACTCGTCACACAAATAATGAAACGTGGTCGAAGTGGGCAGCACGTGCTGGATGAGACCCATTTGAATCGTTTCTGTCACTGCCACGATAAACACATCGACAACGTTCCAGTGCAGTACCGTCCAAAGCCGTGGCGAACAGTGGAAACATGCCCGTAACGTAGTTGTGGCTCGTTCGAAAGATCTAGAGACAGACACGCGCGCGTCACAATCGAGAAGACCAAGGCAGTCCAACCAGGTTCTTTGGATCCCAGAGCTCTCGCCGCAGCGTTCGCGTCAAGGTCTTCACCACTGCTGCGAGCTTCTCCACTTGCGCTTTGTTGGGCAGCCCCATGGGACACGAGAACCCGAGCTTGGTGACAGGTTGATACAACAGTTTGGCCATATCGACCAAGGCTTCGGCCGACCGTAAGAAGACCGTGTTGAATTCAACATCGATTGCGTTGAATGCTGCTGCACATCTACGTCAACGAGAATGAGCAACATGCGACGCATGATGCATCGACAGAGTTGAGCGCGATACTTGGATTTCATGGCAGACTCATTGTAGCGCTGGTCGACAAAGCACGTGGCGAGGTACAAAATGGGATGATAAATGTCTTGGACAATTTCATCGCTGGAAGCGCCTGGATAAAAGACGGCTGCTTGGTCCGCAAAGGCTTGAGCCGTCACTTTGGGCACCTGTAGGCGGCTAATTACCTACAGAGATGACCCCATTGTTGAGGTCATTCCATCAACACAAAGGCTAAACAACATCGCCTTACTTGCGCGAAGTCCGCGGCATTTTTGACTGGTGCCAGCGCCTCCTTCAACCCGGGATTGATCGCAGCCATGCTCTCCCATGGATGCTATCGGGGCTCGACACAGGAAGCTCCTGTTTGTTATTGTCATGCAAGTAGTACCCGCAACGATAGCAGCGACGTGTTGGTCGCTTGCCGAGAAGCCAGCAAATACGCATGGAACTTGTACAGAGATGGAAACACATCGCACAGAAACCCCATCGCTTCGTGGGTGTAAACCGGTGTACTCATGGACGTGTCGAGCGGTGCCAAGTAAAAGATTCGCATCGCGGTTTCGGCATGCATCGGTGGGGCCAGTATGCCCGACGTGCTCGAGTTGGTCCGAGAGTCCGACTACAAGGAAGAGCATGGAAAGAATGAACAATTCGTGAATAGAGTGCCTTATGACGCAAATAGATGGAGCTCGTACGGGTCGTGCCACCGACCAAAACGCTGGACCGGGGTAGAACGTCTTGTTCGTTGGCAACCACGACAACGACGCGCCAACAGACGGCCCGTAGATGAGATCGGGCATGAATCCGTTCGACCATTGATGGCTTAACAACGATCTACATGACGGAATGTCAAGTTCCTTATCACGATGGACAACACAGGGACGACTCACTTGAACTGCACCGTGGCGTGAGTAAAATCGTGATGAGCCAGTGCTTGGGCAGCCAACAACGCATCTCGCGAGTTCTACACGTCCACATTGACGGATATGTTGCACATTGTCGTGGCGTACAATATGCTGAAACCCAATGTCTTCTTGGGGGCCAGGCGCTGTCGCGTTCATCTGGTCGTCAAAGTTGGCTTTGAGTACAGCAAAGGCTGCCTTGACGATCTCGTCTAGTCGCGGGACTTGAGGCGGAAGGTCATCCGGGTCGAAATGGCGAGAGTCGAGCTGATCCTGGTTAGCAGCCAAGTATATCTTTGGAATCCATGCCTCGGCCAGCCACACGAGGCTGCCCACCAGCACCGCGGCGCGCAGAATCATCGGCGGTGTATCTTCTTCGAATGTGGCAATAAAATTATAGAGTTTTCCCAAGTTGTCATGGACAGTTAGTTTGTACGATGTACGTCCCGTACATTACAAAACTCGAAACGACACTTGTTGCGACAAAATCGACCGATCGTGGCATGCAGCAGAGCCCGAGCGGCGGCAGTGTCGCGGATGCACGACCGCCTGCATTAGAATGGAGGCCATACGGTATCTTGCTATTGAGCGGCAGCACCAAGGTGGAAAAGACAGCCAAAGAGAAGCTCCTGACAGTACTCAGCGGGTCGCTCACCCCTCGCGAGCGAGGTGTTTTCAAGGTCATCAAGCGCGTTGATTTGGCGCTGGACGGCAAGGGGGCCGATCCTGACGCCCTTGCAGGTGCATTCTATAAGATGCTCGACCAGGATAGAATTGAGTACACCACTCCGAAGCCACCACCCCCTGCGACGGCAGTCGTGCCGCCTTTGGCAACGCCGCCGACAGCCACACCCGCCAATCCACCATTAGCAACAGCGGCCAAGCCCACCGCGCTACCACCCAACACTTCCAAACGAGAAAACTCGCGAAAAACCTCGTCAATTGACTTGAACGCGGAGGACGAGTCACCTGAAGAGGACTTGCTTCCGGCCGCCGCTGTGGCGTTGGAAGTCGACCTTCGCACAGGCTCGCCGTCGCACATTTATGTCTTTGTTGATTACCCAGCGTCCGTTGCCGAAGTGAAGAGTAAGTGGGGTCTTTAACTACGTTGGGTGCGCGAACGTGGCTGATGTTCTGCGCAGGCTTGGTCGCATTCAAAGCTAGTCCTGAAAGCATTGCAATGAAACGGCCTCCAACCCTGACATCGCTGATCGACGGCGTCGTGCTAATGACCGTAGCTTCAGCCAAAGACGAACCCCGGCGCCAAAGCATCGTGAACTCTGCAGCCTTGGAGGCTGCAAAGGATATTGTGCAGGCTGCAGCAGCCCCTCCAGTTGCAGCTACGCCAGCCCCGAAGCCAGCGGCGGCGAAAGCAAAAGGAAAGAAAGATTCGCTAGCACCACCATCACAACCAGTTCCAGTTGTCGACGTTTCACCTGTCGTTGTGGCTGCCCCCCCTTCCGACTCACATCAATCAGCGAATCTCGCGGACGTCGGGTGCGCACTCTGGTCCATACAGCGTCAACAATTTTCCTGACACTGAAAGCGACTCTATAGTGACATCAATCGGCTCTTCAAAGAGCTTCAAGCAGCTGGCCAAGTCGGTGGTTTGGAGTGGACAGACTTTTCATTTGACGTGGTGGATTGTGGAGATGGCGTCGCAGGAGAGGCCAAGCCCTTGGCGATGTTGACAAGAGAGCTCAAGACGCTACTGGCAAACTTGGCCGTCGACAAGCTCCTCTTCAAGACGTGGCTCTCGAGCATTCAGATCATTCCTGTGCCAACGCAAGATGCACTCCCCGAGAAACAAATGGACGCGCTCAAACAAACTTACGCCGATATTCTGGATGTGCTGTACGAGCCGAGCGTCGGCGTGTCCGCGATCGTATACGCCATGACAGAGACCGTCGTCAAGTCGTTTGTCAAGCCCGCACAGCCTCCGCCACTTCCCACATCCAGCAAAAAGAAAGCCGCACCTCCTGCAGGGGAGCCCAAAGAATCGTCAGCGCTGTCACCTCTTCCAAAGGTAATGCAGATGCCGTTTCCCGCCCGTGATCTCGCTGATATGATCACCATGGATGCCACCAGCCCGTGGCCAACCCAACCGCGCATTCGTTCCCACCATTCATTGAATATGGCGACGTGTCCAGCGTGCGTTTGGCCCGAGCTGTGTACCAATACTCATCCAAACATCCCTTGATGCGGTCGGGGGAGCCGCGGGTGCTGCTCGGTCCGTGCTCATCTTGTTTGCGGAACACTCGTCCTGACATCACGTCGTTGAGTAGGTCGACCGCTGGATGACTTGGAAAAGAGCTTGTGGCTCTTGAACGACTTACCTGGGGTGGGCCACGGAGGCCGCAAAGGGATGCCGGTCGTGCCGACGAAAAGCTTTGTGGAACGAAGTATCGATGACACAGAGCTCATGCAATTTCACTCGTACGTTGGTGCGCTACCATGGCCAACTGGACAATCTGAATCCACGAGTGGGGTCTAGCCTGTCGATAGCGGATGTGCACTACACGCGGAAAATGATGGAATTTGAGACCATGCTCGGACCCAAGTGGCAAGGGAAGCTCCGATCGAGGACTTTTCACGAGCATCTGGCGCCACACGTACTGCCGCAAGTACGTCGTGCGCGAATGCTGAATTTCGACGAGAGAGGTGACTGACTTCACGCAGCGACTGTCGGCACTGATTGGTCTCAACGTGCGTTTGATCAAGCGCTACTACGCCGCCGACGACACGCTGCTCTTGGCGGGGCACGTGGAAACGCCTCAAGGTCGCACAAGCATTGCGTCCTGGAGTGCTGCCGACAGCGTCCGGTATATGATCATATCATAGTGGCAAATCGACGTCACCGAGTTCGTATTGTAGCCATCGGCCACCGTTTAAGGATTGGCGTCAGGAAAACCTGCTACCTGAGGCGTACTTGACACCGCGCACAGTACAAGCTCTCGGAGCAGTCGTGTCGCTCTCGATGGGCGAGTTGCAAGCTGTCTCCGAGGTTGTGCACTCGTTGTACCCCTCCGACCACTCGATCATTCAAGTCCTTCGAACGCCTTACTCGTCCAGTTGGCTCAGCGTTTATAAAGACAAGTACTTCCCATCCGATCGATTCAAACACCTTGACATTCAACCGTGGCTAGCCACGTCTTTGGGTTGCGACCGACCACGGCCCTTCCTGTCGCCACAGTTCGACCAGCAAAGCCATCTCCACCGTTCCGGCGCGACTCCAAAGCCCCGAAACCTTCCGTCCAGTGGACAGACTTCCCCGCAACGTTCCACGCGAGCTTTAGCGACGACTCCCACCTTCGCATTGGTCGTGGTCTAGGCAAGGCGATCGTTTTAACGTACACAGTGCCGTCGGGACTCGTCCTCACCGTGTCGTCGGACGGAACGATTCGCCAGCAATACGCCAACTCAACGTCTCATGCGGCCACCCCCAACAACCACGAATCGTACGGGCAACTACAACAGCACAATACCCTCCATGAATGCGTGTGCAGCCGCCCTCAGAGTTGGTCCATCGTGCCTGTAGAAATCGCGTCATTCTCGGCAGAGGCACCGTCGTGAGCACTCGCAAAGACAATTCGCAAGCGATTTTGTATGCCAGTGGACGCATGGCCAAGAGGTCGTCCCCCACCGACACCTTTGTCACAGTCGACGAACAAGGGGTGGTCACGTGCGGCAAGAACCACGCGCCGCTTCCCAACGTTCCTGTCCATATTGACGTCGACCCAGAGACTCGAGCCGTCATCGCGACCCGCGACGACGGGGTGATCGTGGTCACGCATCCCAATGGGTACTTCTGCATCATGATGCCAGTGCCTTGGACATCACGATGGGATGGTAGAGCGTACTTGACACAGCACGACGATGGCACACGCATGTATGGGAACGCTTCCAACAGTCATGTGGTACGGACAAAGCAGCCGCCGGGCCCTCTCTCGTCGCACGACTCTGACGAGTATGGCAAGGTCGTTCAAAAGGAAGGGTATGCAGAAGTCAGCGTCGACGTCGACGTGAATGTCACGGCACAGCGTCATGCATTGGGAATGAAAGTGGCCGTGACCAAGGGGGGGATCCGCACGCGCAGCGTCATTCGGTGTGTCCACGACAGGAATGTCCATCATCGACATGGACATCACACGACTACCCGGCAGGACGGACGATGGGACGGTGATCGAGATCGACTACGACACCCGCGTCATTGCTTCCGTGAACGGGATCATCCGCGTTCGCAAGCCCGACGGCACAGTCGCCATCGCGTCCGACAACGGCGTCGTCGAGTTTCGTCCCCGTGGCATCAGTTTGGGCGACGCGCCGCCGGTACTGCGATGGCATGTGCACTTGTGTCTCGGACACACTCGTAGACTCCACGCCGTGAAAACGAAGAAGAGATGGACTCGTCGACGGGAGCTTACTACTTCAACTGCGCCACTGGGAGCCTGCAAATGAACGACCACGAACACAATGCGTACTCTGTGCTTGTGGGCGACGGCACGATCGAGCCGCAGGTTCAAGTCGAGTTGGCGGGGGTCGTGACCATCCAGGACTGTGCCAATTACGGCGTGCCACCTCTACCCGTGAAGGCAGTGGTGAACAACCCACTTGAGCCGTTCCTTTTGTTTCTGCACGGCGACGGCACGGCGACGGAGGTGCGGCCCCATGGAACATTCCAGCGCCGCATCGACAGTGTTCCCAATAGATTCTGCGCCCGTCCGATGTAGTCGACTACTTTCAGCAAGTCCAGCGCAACCCCCACGTCCAACGCGTCACGAGCGAACCGCCGTCCAACACGCACATTTACTTGCACCACTTGGACAGGTTCGAGCAGAACGAGCTGTGGTTCGCAGACCACAAAGAGCGGCAGCGTCTCCTCGAGTGTGTGACGATTCCCGCGAGGGCGAGTCGGGGTGTTCGAAAACTGCTGCACAATTCTGTCCCGCTGCAACTTCCACGTGTTCACATTGTGCGGCACATCAAGGAAGTCACCGTGTTGACGCCAGAACAGTTTACCGCGATGGTATGTCACGTTAAGATGGCTCCAAAGCATCCAGTAATGTCTTCCCATGGATGCACACAGCTGAACGCGTTGGACGCATGGCGCGAGTGGTGCGCCAAGCGTGAGATCGCTCAAGACCAGTATGCCGTCTTCGACCCACGCGATTCCGAAACAATGGTAGCGACCATGGTACGTTCGATGGTTGAGGGTCCACGATGTGTGTCATCATGGCGTAGGCGGTGCAAAAGAAGATTCAGGCTGCATACAAAGCTGCTCGAGCGAAGAAAAAGGCCGAGCGGCAAAAGTCGAAAGAGCGCGAAAAGCACGAAGTCGCGGACGGTGACGGCAACAACATGTCGACTCTCCAAGAGGTACTATCCCATCGCTCGGTGCTCTAGCGTGCAGCACATGCCGTGTCATGGGTGTTTGTCTCTCATTCGTCTTGTCCATCGCTAGGTCGACAATGAAGAAGATGAAGGTGCTCTCGACAGCTTGTGGCGCACGACACTGACTCCATGTACTTGGGTAGAGGACGACTTGGACGAGGGGTACCGCGCGTTGGATGATAGCGACAACGACAGTCGGGACGAGCTGGATTTCAACGTCGACGACGACTACGAGCTCACGTTGACGGCGTTTGGTCAAGCTGACACGGAGAACACCGGGCGCCTCAATGCCGTGCAGAGTAATGATTGCTTCCATGTTAGACCGTCGAACGAATCTTCTCACGTGCCACTGCAGCTCGGCGGGCGTTGGTGCATGCCCTCGGCACGGGCGTCACCCAGGCCGAAGTGAACGCGGCGATACAAATGTTTACTGAATGCGAAGACAGTCGAGTATGCCCACGTCGTCATGCCGACTCGGCGGTGTTGCCCCACGCTTTCATTTGTACTAGGTGACGTTCGAAGCATTTTCCCGCATGTTGAATGCGTTCCGCGAAGACCAGGATATCACCGCCCTCGCTGACTTGACAACTCCGCGGTCCATCTTGCCTCTAAAGCTCAAGTCACCACGAGCCAAAATGCCATCCCCCCGTGGCAAGGTCGGCGGGGGACCATACGGGGCTTGAGTTCTCGCAAAAATAATCGATATTGTGTATGCACAACGACCTATCTTTCGTCGACGACAGTGTCGACTGCTATGCTGTCATGGAGATCGAGGGGCGTCGCCCTGCTCGCGTCGATGGCGCGTTGCTGTCGTCGCTGTAGATGTCGCCGATGTAGCCTTGAAGGACGTGGCTCATGCTTGCCCTGGAAGCCGCCTCGCCCTTGGCCTTTCCCATCGCCCGGCCCTTCGACGCCGTCTGCTTTATGTGGCTATCGTCAACTTCTCCGTCGCTGTCGTCGTAGTAGCTGGCAAAATACAGATGCGCCATGTCATGGATGACCTCGTCGTCCATGGGCGCCGTCTTTCCGCGGGCATTCGCAAACTCTTCCGCTTCCAAAACTCGCTCGTGTTCCCGATCGAGATGAAGTGCGTTGCCGTCGTCATCTGGCACGTCATCGAGCATCTCGCCGTCGTTCAAAGCGTTCGACCACGTTTCCATTGCAAGCTGCTCCAAGTACGCAGCATCCTCTTCCGTGTACTCGAGTCGCATGTCCACTGGTCGGTTCGTTTTCGACTGCAGTGGAGGGAGCCGAATCGAGTTGGATCGGTACGGCGTCACCGTGTGCAACTCCAACAACATGTCGTCTGCCAAGCGTTCGAAGTACTTGGACAACTCGGCCGACGTTGCGGCCCTCTGAACAAGTGGTTCGATGCTGCGGTCGATCGGAGAATCGTTGTTGGACTTGCGGGCTTTGTTTAACGCAGCAAATGCGTTGTCATATGGCCTGCCACGACAAGTATGAACTTTACAGTCTGCTCATGCGATTCCGAATGCACTACCGCAGCTGTGATGGCCGCTTCAGGGCAGCATTCAACGGCTTTTTGTTTCGTGGACTTTCGTCGTTGTTTTGGTTGGGAGCGTCGTCGCCGTTTGTTTCAGAGACCTCCTTCGACACGACGATAAGGAGGCTTTCAGCCCACAGTTTGGAGGACTCACCGGTGATGACTCGGTGCGCCCGTTGCTGCCGTTGATGGAGGATTGCGCAAGAATTTTGTACTGTTGTATCATTGCGTTGGCTTCGTCCATCATGTTGTGCAGGATCTGGATTTGGGCATCCGTGAGGACTCTTGCGGAAAGGGTGTGGAAGCACGCTCGGAACTACGCATCAAGTTGAGTGTGCTGGATATAACCATTGAAATGGCAAGCGAACCTGCCGCACTCGGGTGTCTACAATGGCTTTGTTGGATGATGAGTGCAGAGGATGCTTAGGGGGCACGACGAGCTCATCCACCGGACTGTCAAGAGCTCCAAGCTACGTTTACGAAAGTGTGAGACGTCGACTTCACCAAGATATGGCAACTGCACGAAGCAAACCTTGTTCAAATACTTTCGCAATGTCTTGTATCGAACGTTTGCCTCTTTCGCCGCGAATTTGTGCTTCAACGTGACATGGTACAGCTCAACGTGGCGACCCATGCGAGTGCGGACAGTCGATGTGCCGTGGAGCACCAGCAACACTTGCGGAAGCATGGAGTATGTGCGTCGCTACCGAGAGGTGTAGTGCCTCTTTGTTCAGTTACCGACCAGTGGAGTGCGCCTCTTGGGACGAAATGAGCTCTCGAGACACTTGGGGACAAGAATAGATCGGAGAAGGACCAATCAGATCGACGCGACCTATTGATGGGGCCTCCCATTGGATGTTTCATTTTTGGATCGTGACCTTTGGAAAAGACGTCCAGTGCGGGCGACAATGCCACCCGGCAATACGTTCAAGGCCCCAGGACAGAGGTTCGAGCGTGACGGTGCTACGTCTATTGTAGTTGCGACGAGAGAATGAAAATCCACATCAACTGTGGATTGCCTCGAGGCAATCACGTCAGTGTTGAGTTCACAAGCGTTATGCCGGCAGATTACGAAACGTTCTGTACATTCCAAACAGCGCGACGTATAACGTTGGCATGGTACACAGCAAAGAAGGGGACTTCGCGAAGCACACGCCATCTGCGCGACTGGGACCTTGATGGCTCGACGCGGACTCGTGGTCTTTACACCCACCGTTCATTGCGTGTACTGGAGGATAGTGCTGGGTAGTTACTTGAGCTTCGAGTCTCGAGAGACGAGATGAAATTCAATCGACCATGTGGACGTTTATGTGGGTTTGAAACGTGTGCAAAACAGTTTCGCGAGACTCACGAAATGATGTGGAAATATCTCGACGAGGTGAACGGATGCTTGATTGTGGGATAATCGGATGCCCACCACATACACTTGCACAGGCGACGCGCTTTCCTCGGTATGTGTGGCTGTAAAGCTTGAACAATGCAAGGAGGTCATCCAAACCAACTTCAAGTGCTCCAGCCCATCGGTGTGGGTCGGTTGCAAGGCTCCACTCTGGCTGTACGTAGCTAGCTCTTCCAGACAGGGGTCTGCGAGAATACGCTCTGTATATGAGGCGGGGTAAACAAGCGATACAACCTGTGCCTTCTCAGCGATAAGGTGGTGCCTCACGCATCGCTGGTGTGAATAGACATTTCATAGATGTGCAACGACTCGTTCCGGTTACCGGATAGAAAGATTGTCCGGATACAGGCAATTTCTCGTGAAGAGTGGGCTTGGCATGAGGCGACAAGGTCTGTCGATGAAGGGGAAGACGACGGTGACGGTGAACGTGTACGATATCGTGGAGAGTAACTCTTTCACATACGGTAACCTTGCAAGTATGTGGCATGCCGCTGAAGTGTGTGTGGCAGCGTGGGGTCTTGGGGCCTTTCATTCGGGTGTCGAAGTTGGCGGCGTCGAGTACTCTTTCGCAGGTGGCGCAGGCGTTTTCACCTTGGCACCCAAGTCGGCGCAAGGCGCGGTTTTCCGTGAATCTATCCAAATAGGAGTGTTTGAAGGCACATATCAAGACGCCAAACGAATCTTGGACGACATGCGAAGCGAATTCAATGGAAGTCATTACAACCTCCTCACCAAGTTCGATCTGTTCTTGTGCTTTGTCAAGTGGTATTTACGCAAGTGCTTTGCAGGAACTGTAATACGTTCGCAAATGAAGCATGCTTGCGGCTTGTGGGCCAACCGATACCTGCCTACATCAATCGCATCGCTTACCTTGGATCATGCTTCAGCTGCTTGATCCCAAAGCAGCTGACGGGTGAAGCACCAGTACAAGGAAGCGACGCAATGTTCGGTGGATTCTCTCACGCGAGCTCATACGGCACAACGAGTGTTCCAGTGTTTGCAGGTGCGCCCGCGATCAATTCGTCGGCTCCGTCACGATGCGTTCTTGGAGCAGGGCAAGGCTTGGCCCTAAACTCCAATTCGTCTCCATCTGCCAGTCTACTAGCGTCCACCGACGAGAACAATGAAGCGATTCGGCGTGAGAAGCGCGTAGCTGCGGCTCTCAAACGCCTCGAAAAACGACACTCGGGGAGCGAAGTGCTTACTTCAGACTAACCACCAGCGAGTGGCTGGAGGTGAATTACCGGAAAAGTCCTTCGAATGCCTGTGCATCGCACTAATCCATCGCTTATTTCCGTCGGCGCGTTGCTTCCTCCATTGTGTAATGGAACTCCGAGTCGTGGAGCACAGCCAACTCTGGTGGTGTTGACTTGTCTCCAATTTCCAAATATTTCGAGGATCTCTCTTAATAATGCCAAGATTAAACATTCATTCCTCATTCCCGACCAATGCGAAGTCCTGATTTGATTGATTTTCCCATTTGAGGAAGCAGATGACGCAGCCTCCGCGCCTGCCGTTCTTCGTCTACGGCACACTCATGTACAGGCCGGCCTTGGGCCATCAAGTTCATCGATCTTATGGGTATAGTTGACGTAGGAGAGGCTTCCGCAACTACGACAAGCACGTTGGCAGTTATGCGTCTCTCCGATTCGTGGCAGAGCGCGGGTCTGTAGCGAATGCGTCGCTTGTCCACTTTGCAGCGGGCTATCCCGGCATGTACGATGGAGGCTGCGGAATCGTATATGGCCAAGTCGTGACGGCGGACGACCCTCAAGAGTACGACGCGCTATTTCAAGGACTTGATGCCCTCGAAGACTACTACGGCCCAGGCCATCCGTCCAACGAATACAACCGCGTCCAAGTCGACGTGGATTGCGGCACCGAGCGCATCCGTGCATGGACTTACTATTGCGTGATCCCACTAGAAAGAGCTGTGGACACTGTGCCAAGTGGCGACTGGCGGCAATACATGGTGGATCGCACGCCTTGAATCAATGCATCGTGTGTTCAACGAGCTGATGCCGCTTTGGCAGCTACTTTAAGTTGGGCTTTCTTTTCGCGAATTTGAACCAACTCTATGGCAATGTCCTTCTTTCGCTGGGCATCCGCTGATTGCTGCTGCACCTTCAGTGCTGCCTCGCGCTCTCGGAGCTTGGCCAGCGTCGGTGGCTGGAATACTTCAGTGGCGTGGGCCGCCACCTGCTCGATAATCGACGATTCGGGCTCGGGAGACTGCGCGATGTAACCCCCCAAACCCCCTGCTCCAAACAGAACCATCCAGAACCCAGTCGCATGGTACGCACGTAGTGCCTGCAGGTGAAGCTTCAGCTTTTGTGCGTTCTTCCTGACCTGGGCCCCTTGGATATTTGAGCACCCGTCGCATTGCGGGTAATATCTGTGACGAAAAATTACACAGATGACGTCGGGGAGACATGGATCAAGTACCTTTGAACGACCGGACCAGCAATCAGGCGGTTCCAAAGCCGCTCGTTTTCTGCTTTGGCGACCATGACCGGTGGTTGGTGATCAGCGTGGAACTTTGCGGTTCGGACGCCGCACGTGTGGCAGCCATAGAGGCGACCAAAGCTCTGGATGACTGCGCGAACATTCCCATCTGCATACTGCACAAGCCAAGGTTGTTACCACTTTGTGGGCAGTGCTCAAGAGACAATCTTACCTCCAATGTAGCTGGTAGCGAGATCTTTGCATGGCCGAACGCTCCAGGATGCCGAAAATCACTTGGTGCCAAAGCTCGGAAGCGTCCTCCCAAGAGACTACGTGGTCCATACATGACGATGCAAGGTGGAGCGTCATGGTACCGAAAAAGGAGAAGGCCCGTGGTGGCTGCTGCTGTCATTTGCACTGGGGTCGGGTCCGTTCGTCGAAGACAATACGCCCCAACAAGAATACTTGATCCTGCCACGCCAGCGCCACCAAGGATGGAGGGAAATGCTGGCATCGACGCAGACACACGGCACAACAACATAGTGCATTGCGTCAGCGACACACCGCCAAAGAAGATCGCACCAGCGCAGAGCGCGTCTTTCGCTGTTTCTTCAGCTGCATGTACGAGCTTTGCATCGCGGAACGATGCTGCCATATCGCGCAAGCGCTCGATGGAGTGCGGGCGACTTCCACCCGGGACGTGTCCCATAGAAGCAACGAGAACCCCCGATCAACATGTCGAGAAATACTGCACATATTGATAATGACATCAAGTTATCACATGTGACAGGTCAAAGATGTGCGCGGCGAAACGCCACAAGGACCTTGGCATTGCCGATGGATGACACCGCCAGTAAAGCCGCGATGATGTGCAAGTAGTTCATGGCTAACCCCCTTAGAGTCTCCTGCTATCGGTGCACATGCTTGATGGGCATGGGGAAGCCCATCTTGTGCCGACTAATGTTCGACTGCACTGGCGTCGCGGGATCGACTCCGCAGTGAGAAGCGGATGCAAACGGACAGTACAGCGGAAATCGAAGCGCCGAGGCAACGAGGGCGAGTGGTTTTCTTGGGCTTCATCACTTCGAATAACTCATGTCGTCGGTCGTATTGGCATTCGAGGCCAAGTTCAAGTTGAGCGTTGCCGCGTCACTCGACACGCAGCGGTCGGACGGATCTAGTTCAGCATGACTTGTCAGCCGATGCGTGGGCTTCACCATGTCAATGACAGCATCTGGTCTACACGCTCGTTTGATGGATGCATTCGTGTTCGTCCCTACCTCAGTGCATGGCATCGTTGTGTGGCCTCAAGCGTTTGTGATCGGCAGTCCCACAACACTCGACGTCGATCCCACTTGTAATGGCCGCGAAGGAGATTTCGCCCCGCCGACATGGCCAACGCAACGTCGGAGAGTGGGACGTATCCTCCCCCGCCCAATCACTCAGCGGCCACGACTTCTCGGCGCGCTGGAAGACCTCCTGTGGCGAGTTGGCACGGCGCTGCTTTGCAATAATAAGCACGCCGCTTCCACCGTTGAAAGAATCGCAGCTCTTGGGAAAAAATCTTTCATCGACAAGCATCGACGGGTTGAGAACGGCGGCGATTGCAGCGACTTGTCGGACTCACTTACCAAAGTGCTCGTGCCTTCGTATGTGCAGTCTCGGCAACGCGAGTGCGTCGACGCATCTCGTCTGTCACGAAAGCACGTCATTCGGTCACGCAGCGGGGCCTTGGTGCCTGTCGCACATCGTTGCAACGATGGTAGTGTTCCTTGTCGTGATGCCCAGAGGAGGGCGAGTCGTGGCGGAGACGATCGCCTGCCTCAGGCGAAAGTGGCACATTGCTGCATCGATTCGATGCCTGCCGGGGCCCCCCGCCCTTCCCATCATCGGCAACCTCCACCAGCTTGGCAAAAACATGGCCAACATCCACTGGTGGAAGATCGAGATGGCGCGGCAGTACGGCGGCACGTATGCGACCCGCGTCGACTGCCTTATGGACGGATCCATCGTGACGAGCCGGCCAGAAAACCTCGAGTACATCTTACAAACCAACTCGGCCAACTACATCAAGCCCAAACTGCTCCAGGACACGTGCAAGGAGATCATGGGCGACTCGATCTTTGCCGTCAACCCCACGTCGCCGCTCTGGGCCCTCCAACGTAAGCTCATGTCGTCCATGTTCTCCGTCAACTCGTTTCGCAAGTACATGAACTCGGTCTTCCAAGAACACACTCGACAGTGCGTCGCCGACCTGTATCGTGCGGCATCCAAAGGCAGCGGCAGTGTGGACTTGGAGCTCGTCCTCGTCACTCTGACCACCAACATCTCGTTTCACATTGGATTCGGTCGGCACGTGCCAAACGAAATGAACTCGCCGGCATTCCACACACTGTTTCGGGATGCAAGCTCCATCACGGCGAACCGATTTACAAAGCCCTGGTACAAATGGTTTGCGTGGTGCATGCCGTCCGAGTGGCAGCTCAAGGCGGCCATCGGCGACCTCGACCGCATGTTTTACACCGTCATTGCTTGTCGCCAACAAGAGGTCCTGGCAGGGGAAAACGACGGCGCCGTCGACATCCTCTCGCAGCTCGTGGCCCGCCAACGCCATGGACACCCCATCACGACCAAGTTTCTTCGAGACATGATGATGACGGTCATGTTGGCAGGGCGGGAGACCGTCGCGAGCAGTTTGCTCTGGATCATGTACTTGGTGGCCCTGCACCCAGACGTGGAAGCAAACGTGATGGCCGAAGTCGACTCGGTTCAAGACGCGACGGACTACGATAGCGTTGCCAAACTTCCGTTTCTCGAAGCTGTCATGAAGGAATCGTGGCGACTCTTTCCGCCCACCGCGCTCGAACTCAAGAGCGCGGTCCACGACGACGTGTTGCCAGATGGAACGTTCGTGCCGGCGGGGGTGAATGTCGAGTTTTCCCCGTTTGTGATGGGCCGCGACCCCACGCGATGGCCGGGCGCCGAGGGTTTCTGTCCCCAACGATGGCTCGACCCGTCGTTTGTGCCCCCAACAGACTACGAGTTTCCCGTGTTCCATGCTGGCAAGCGCAAATGCGTCGGCCAGCGCATTGCGATGCTCCAAGTCAAGTACATTCTGACCATCCTGTACCAGACCTTTCGCTTTGAATTGGTCGACACATCGTCGCCGCTTCAATTGACGCTCGGCATTGCGTTGTTTCCCAAAGGGGGGTTGCCAGTCCGGCCTGTAGTCCGGGCTCGTGTGGCCGCGTGTGCCGGTCGACCGCGCGCGTCGTCCGCCGCGGCCTAAGACGCAACAACCATTCCAATTTGAAAGACCTATTTTATTCCATTAATACCGCAGCGACAAGAAGCATGCGACTCCGGCCTTGATCCAGTAGTCTTGGTCGGCAAACTGGACCTGGAGATTCGTCTCGGACACGAGCGAGTTGCGCCAGATCGTGTCTTTGTTGGACGGGATCTCGATCCACATGACAAAGTTGGTCGAGTGGCCAGTGGTCGACAGCGTCCCCGTCCGCGTCAGGATTTTGTACACAGGACAGCGGTAGATGCCGCTCTTGGGCGCTTCTCGGTGCTTCACTGGCATCAGGTGCATCACAGGCATCTTTGAAAACAATTCCTTGGGGACTGGATCGACCAACGAGTACTGCTTTGTGTCCCACCGCGCGCCCTCGATGAAGAGACCATACGCGTAACACCCGCCCTTCTGCGGCTTGATGTGGAGCCGCTCGACGGGATCTGGAAGCATGATAAAGTCCCACGAGAGGGTGTCGATGGGTATGTGAAACCCGCGCGCATGGTTCTGCAGCGTGCCGGTGAGAAAGCCCTGGGGGAAGAAAAAGCCCGAGAGCCAAAAGACGGGCGGGATGCCTTCGTTGATCCAGTGGGTGAGGAACTTGAGGCGCTCCAAGAGCTCGTCGACCCACGGATTCAACGCTTTCAACGACGGGTACGCCTTGCGCTCCCATCCCGGCGGGACCTGCTCGGCACGACGACGTCAGCTAGTCGCCTGGATGGAGGTCTAGCACATACCTTTTGGTTGAAAATGCAGTTGGCCATCGTTTCCAAGTCGGCCGACATGACAACAAGCCCCTTGAGTGCTCGTTGGAGCAGCGGCAGCGACGTTTTCATCACGTACAGCAGGTTGTTGTACCGCTGGGCTTCTTGGACGAGAACAGTGTTCATCGACTCTTCGTACATGACTGGGTACCGGACGCTGATAAAGTCGATGTCGAAATACGGCGGGAGCTTGTCCTCGATCTCCTTGGCCTGCATTTCAATGATCATTTCGCGGGACTGGCCACCGCCCGAGCTCATGCGGGGTTGCAAACTCAGGACAATGTCAAAGTTCTTGAAAGTTTCAGCGATTGCGCATGTGATGTTGGCGTTTTCGTGCATACCAAACACTTCCGGGTCCGGGTTGAGCGGGAGCGAGTCAATGTAGCTGAGGTAGTGCGCGAGCGGACTCTTGGGGTTGTCAGCGCTCGCCACGGGAATCGACTTGTACGTCCCGCTCTTGGAGAACCAGTAGTGGTCGCTCAAGATCTTGTCGTTGAAGAACCCTTCCAGGATCACGTCGATGGTTCGCATGTCCTTGTCGTCCGTGACACGGCCGCCGTAGTTGACCACCGACGTCATCACGCACAGCACCTTGTACGGCACAACATCGTAAAAGTCCAAAAACATCTCGAGCTGTGCACGCGAAATGTCGTAGTCGGTGTCGTTGAATGCGTACGGGATGTTCCAACCGAGTGGACCAAAGCGCTTGCGCTCGATCACGATCGCGTGGAAGAAGGCCAGGCCAAAGAGCAGCTTGCGGTACTTTTCCGGCTTGCCTGTCGCGTCCAGCATGTCGTCGGTCATTTTCATGTACGAGTTTTTGAGGTTCGCGCGGACGCCCTTGGGCGGCTCCTTGGTCATCTTGACACCGTTCTGCAGCACAGACGTTGGAAACGACGCGCTCGGTCGTGATGTCAGCCATAGACGAAAGTCGCGATGGGTCGTGTCAGGGTTGAGCTCCTCGCAAATGCGCTCGAGCGACGTCATCCACGAAATCGCCAAGTGGCAGTTCTGCAACAACACCCACTTGCCGCTCGAAATCGCGTCGTCGATCATTTTTGCCGCGATCACACCTTGGCCTTGCCCAAGTGAAATCGAATTCAGCTTGCGCCCCATTTTCATCGTGTCGGCAAAGAGGAGGAGGTCTTTCGCCGGATCCGACCCTGCGCACGCCGTGTTAGACGGCGCAGACGAGAGTGTGTGGTCAACACAACGTACCAGTGGACAGGACAAAGATGAGCGGAGTTGTCACGCTCGAGTCAGCATACGAGCCTGGCAAGTCGAATGTGGGCGGTTCGATGAAGCGCTGGCCCAAGTGTTCGGCGACAAAGAGCTGAATCGCTTCCGTCATGCGATCGGGGCGTATGCAGCGCAGGGTACACAGTTTCTGAAACGTGTTGAGGGAAAACTGGAACGGGACGGGGAGTCGCGACAGATGCGGGTCGTTCGAGTCAAACATGGCGCGCCACGTTTCTTCGTCCGTCGTGAGACTTTGCACGAGCCCTTCAAATTTGGGCAGCGTGGTGAGGCAGCACACCTCGGAGAACGTGCGGTCCTCGATCCACGACGGGTTCGGGTTGCGCGCATCCGAATCCTTGGCCGGCGTCGAGCCCGAGATGAGGAACCGCCACTCGAGCGGATCGATTTCGTTGCGGCCTTGCAGCAACTTGATCGTGAGCAAGAACGAAAAGAGCAGCTTGTGTTCTTCAAACAGCGACCGGCAGATGTTTTTGTACAGCGAGTACGTGGCAAACTCGATCAAGTTGACGAGTCGCGTTTCCAGGACGTCGCTTGGCTCGGCCGCGCGGCAGCTCTACACACGACGGCGTTCCATCGGGACGCGTGGAATAGTGGAGAGATGACCTACCTTGATGAAGTTTTCGACAAACCAAGACAACGAGTACTGGTACATTGGGTCGACAATCGAGAGGTCGGCGATACAAAAGAAGAGCAGCGACGCCCGGTTGGCCACACCACGGTACAACTCGCGTGTTTCATCGATCGTTTTCTCGGTGACTTCGGCCTCTGCCATCTTTTCATTGATGTCCTCGGACGTGACCTTGGCTTTCCCGAGCATGTCGATCAAGTCTGTATCGTCCAAGATGTTGCCCTGGGAGTTGGCCAGCATGTACAAAATTTTGTTCTCGATGTCGAGGAGCTCGGCCTTCATCTTGGCATTCGACACGACCAGCGTGTTTTTCTTCTCCGCGAGCTCGGGCATTTCTTCTTGGACCACGACCCCCAGCGCCTGTTCCTCGAGCCCGGTCGGCGTGATCGTGAAATTGAGCAAGCACACCTTCACGCACGTTTCCGGCGGGTAGTGCGGGTTTGGTAGTTTGGTTGTCATGAAGAAGCGAAAGGCCGAGTTGTACGGGATGGTAGTGTCGCCAATCTTCATCATGAGCTGCCCACCCTGCTTGAACTTGGTTTGGAGCAGGACCGTCTCGAGAGCAGCGTCGAGAAACTCGCTCACGTTCTCCATGAGAATCCACTTGCCAAAGCGCACGCCGTTCTCGAGGACTTTGATGAATCCCTTGTCCGAGCTCTTGACGACATCGATCCCGTTTTCGCTCGAGTCTTTTCCAAGGTTCTTGATGAAGCGATTCGCCTGCCCTTGTGGATCGATGAGGAGCGGCCACCGCCGCGCGCGCGCCATGATGATGCCGTTTTGAACGGACAAATTGTCGGACGGCAGCCCAGCGATTTGCCATCCCCGAACCTTGACTGGGTCCGCCAGCGTCGTGATAATGTTGCAGTTGCGCGTGTGCGGCACCTGTTGTTTCGCGAGCGCATTGTACCACGAAGCAATGCAAATGTCGCGGAATTCACTCGTAAAACACCCGAGGTAGCTGATCGTGCCAGACGAAATGATCACGTCGCCGACAAGGTTCTTCAGGTCGTCCATTAATTGTTTGATCGTGATCACCCATCGCGCTTCTTCGCCGCCGAGGAGGGCAATCAACTTGAGCGCCGACTCTGTGCACCCAACGCAATGAACGCAAGCGCTTCGGCAAGGGAAAAACGTGCGTACCCAGTCGAATCTCGCATTGCCGGACGTCTTGCACGAGCTGATCCTTCTTCTCGACTGCCGCATTGTAGCCGTTCTCGAGCTCCCGCAGTCGATCCACGACTGCGGTCAGCCGCTCCTTGGCGTCTGCTAACACTCGCATCGTCACGTCCAACTCGACTTGGGCTTCGGCCAGCGCAATCTTCTTTGGCTCGACCATCTTGGCGATCTTGTTGTACGTGTGCATGGCCCGTACCCACATGCAAATGGCTTCGCACGCCTACAACAACAGACGGCGCATGATGGATATGCACACCAACGAGCGGTGCCACGGCGCACCACTGACGCTTTCCGCACGGACGCAGGGGAAAACTCCTCCATGTCCATGTATGGATCGATTTGTTGGATGATCTTGTCGCCAATGTTGTCCTTGTCAAACTTGACCATATCCTCGAGCAGCTTTTTGGCGTTCCCGAGGATCGTCTTTTGCGCGCTCTCCCAGTAGTCTTTAATCTTTTGACCGGGCTTGTCCGGGTCGGTCTTGAGCGTTGGTTTGATGCCAAATATGATGCACGCCGCTTCCATGGTCAAGCGCACGCCGTGCGGCGGGTTCTTCATCGCTTTGACTTCGTCAATGTCGGACTTTTTGAGCCGGTTGAGGCACTGCGTCGCTGCATCCAACGCTGGCAACGCTTCGTCCAAGTCGCGCTGCGCATCGTCAGCAATTGCTTTCGTGTCGGCGGCCTTTTTGTTAGCAAATTGCTCCTCTACACCGCATCGCTCAACACGACGCGTGTGCCGACAGGTCCGTACCCTTTTCCACCACTGCCTTGGTTTCGTCGGCATCTTTCTTGTCTTCTGTGATCTTGATCATGAGCGCTTCCACTTCGATCTGCGTTTTCTCCAGCTGCGGCTTGAGGGCGACAAGCTGCTCCTGCATGCCCGCGACTTGTTCCTTGGTCGCAATGATCTTGTCGACACCATTTTGCAACCGACCTGCCATTCATGCCACGTTATGTCAGGGCTTTGTCGACCGAGCGAGATGTCAACGCACTTGTCGTGCCCGTGACTTCTTCGCGCTTTGTTTGGAGGACGCTCTTGAACGTGAAGAGCAATTCCAAGTACGAAGTCGGCGTGACGTAGTTATACCGCCGTAGCTTTTGAAAGTAGTTGGTCGACTCTTGCTCCACCGTTTGGTGCATGCTCTATCAGGCAAGACCGTGTTTTGTCGATGGAATCCATGTCAGGTTGTACCTGGAACACGTTGACGACGGCGCCGACCTGGTCACCGAGCTTCAAATCAATCGTTGTGAGGGCATTCATGGCGACGGACTGCAGCGCCTGGGCAGGCCACTCGCTGAACCAGTCGATCGTGCAGCAGTTCACGAGCGATGGAAACATGCGAATACGGTCGCGAAATGTGCTCCCAAGCGGACTCATGCACAGCACCAGGTGGAGATTCTGCCGAACAAGGCCAACGTAGCACGCGAAAATGTTGAGCTTCGTCGCCGGGATCCGCTTCTTCACACACATGTTGCGACAATGGTTGGTGATTGCGTCAATGTCTTCCGGCGCGTACAGGTTGGGGACATCCCCCGTGTTGAGGATGTTGTTAATGTCCTCGAGCATGATCTCGTGCACGATCTGCACGTCCGAGAAGAGAAATACGGTCGGCTTTTCATCCACACCGGCTTTCATGAGGCACTTCTTCAGGTCGTCCCGCCAGTCGGCGACGCTATACCCCTTGGAGATTTCGATTTGACTGCACCCGTACTCGGCCATGTAGGCGGCGAGCCGCGTCAGCGACTGCCGCCCGCTCCCGCCAACGCCCAAGAGGAGGGCGTTGCCTTGAGGCTGGCGAATGATGCGCGCGATGCGCGACACGTGTTCGATCGCGTTCATAAACATGACCAAGTTCATCGGGGCACTCGATTCGGCGTTGTAGTCGTTCAAGTACTCCTCGACTTGGGCCACGAGCTTGTCCATGTCGGTGATTTCTTCGTACACTTTTGGATCCGCCCCCGGGACCATGTAATCGCCAAACAAGAGGCTCGCATTGGGGACGACCACCTCCCAGATCTTGAGCTTCGCATCGTACATTGCTTCGTGATCCTACCCACGCAAAGGACATGAGGCGACACATGACGACTGCGCGAGTTACATGGTGGACGTCTGGGAGGCCAAACTTTGGACCGAAATGCAGCGCGAGTTGCATCTGGAGTTGCCCATGGAACCACTGGTGGTCGCTGACCGTCGTGAAGCGGTCTTCGAACACGCGCATGTTTTCGTGCACCCAGAGCCGCAGCAGCTGCTCCAGTTTGACAATGCGCTTGGCGTCGCCCATGAGCACACCTTGAAACACTTTGGCCAAGTCGCGCAAGTTGAACGTGTAGTGCGCTTTGGCGGGCGTCGGGAGCAGTTCTTTGATAATCGTGTTGTATATGTAAATCGAGCTCTTGACGATGGCTTGACCGATCTCGGGGGGTTTGAGCTCGTCGGAGAACTTGGCGAGAAAACTCGCGATGATCGTGGCAAACACTTGCTTCTTGTTGTCGTCCGACATTTCCGTGTACCCGATAATGTTGAAATGGCGAATGAAGCGCGGCGTGATGGGGTTGCGGCCCCCGCCAGGGGGTCCCATGGACGCCACAAACACCACGTCGACGATGTTCCTAAACACGAGCAACTTGCGATCGTACCACCCCGCTTGGTCAAACCACTGGCGCAAAATCTCGATCGGCGGCTGCGCAAAGTATTCTTCCTGTTTCGGCATGTTCAAGTCGTCAATGTGAATGATAAACTTCTTCCCGGCCGTCGGACCGTACACGCCCTTTCGCCGCTTTTCCATCTTGCTGTCCAAAAAGTCTTGCGTCTGGTTTGCGCTCGTTTGCGCCGAGAATGTTAGCTTCAACGGGACGAATTTGTCGCTGTCGACTCGCTCCAAGAACTGGTTCACGTTGATCGTTTTGCCCGTTCCGGTGGGGCCCACGATGAGCATGTGAACGCCTTGCGTCAGCGCGAGCTGCATCAGGAACGTCGATCGTACGCTGTCGCTGGTGGGGACCACGAGCTCAGAGAACGACGCTTCGGCCGGCACGATGTACTTGGGGATGGTGTCGAGCCAGAGTTTCCAGGACTCGGTCGACCGGTCGAGAGCGTAGTCGTACACGAGTCCGTCCGCCGGCATCTGCAGGTGAATGCTCGGATGCGATAGCATTTCTTCCCGCAGGAATGCGTCAAACTTGACGCGGCCAGCTTCGTTCCCGGTCGCCCCGATCGACCAGACGAGGCAAAACACAAACAGCTCCGGCATATGCCGTGAAAAGAACGCGACGTGGTCGGCGCGAACTTCCTTCTTTTCTTCGCCATGGAGCACGGCAAAGAACGAATCGAGGAGACGCATCAAGCTCTGGCACAAGTTGTTGGGAATTTGCGGCAACCATTCCTTGACATGTGCCGTCACAAACGCCAGGCTCGGGCGAAGGAACGAGTCAAAGAGCCACTGGAGTTGCTTCTTGGTGTCGTTTGAAAAGTCGTGTGCGAGGGTTTCGAGCCTGCAAAGGGGTTCATCAGGTTAGACCTGTTCATGCGGTGCAAATTCATGTCGAGTACCAGCTAGTGATGAGCGGATCAAAGCCGAGCGACGCGGGCTCCATGTAGACCATGCCCGTGCGGCTGACGGTCGCGGGCGACGCGACCGAGAGATCTTCGACCTCAAACATCATGGTCATTTCTTGTGACATCTGGATGATCTCGCCGCTACTCAGGCACAGCTTCTTGTTGTCGTCCAAGACAGTGTTCATGTTTTCAATCCAAATCGCATCGACAGGACCGTCGAATATGACCCACTTCCGATCCGAGTTGGCACTCGACGCGGCGGCTCGATACAGCGTGCTCAGAATGCCATCCTGCCACTCGTGCGTGCTCGCGTCGAATTCGCCATAGAGCTGGCCCATCGTGATCGACTTCGGGTTGAGCTGATACATGACGACTTCTTCGTACGCAAACCCTTGTTCGCCGAGCTTCTTGAGCTCCGTTAACGTGTCGCAGAGCACTCGGAGGTTGCTCGATTTTCCTACCGCCGCCAGTGTGATTGCAACGTTGACGTTCGCCGATTTCACGCGCACCTCCTCCGGTCGCCCCCACGACCATGAGTCCGTGCCGCACGCACAACGTCTCGTAGAGCTGGACGACTTTGAGCATGAAGAACGGATGCGGCTGGAGCTTTTGGCGCTGGATCACAAGCTTCGACACACGATTGAGCGCCCCTACGACGACGCCCTTGTCACGCCGTCAAGTTGCATGCGAATCGTACCAAGATTTAGTTGCGGCCGTGACTTGCCTGGGAACAGATCGCTGATAATTCCGTTGAAGAGAGGAATGTCAAACGATAAAAACTTGGGCAAGTTGACGTCTTGCAACGCACGAAGCAGCAGCACTTCTTCGTCCATGTGCGGGTCGGCGCGTTTGAGGTTCCCGGCGGCCGTGATCACAGTCTTGACGGCGCGCATCCCGTAGTCGTAATGCGACTGGGCCGACAGTTGCTCGGAACACAGCTATGCATCACGACCTTGAGCCAACTACGGCAAGGATGCACCTCACCTTAAAAGTCGTGACCATCTTGGCGCCGCATTCCTTTGCTTTCTCGTAGCCGTACGCGAAAAACATGATTTCCCCAATCATGGCATAATCCGGCACCATCATGGCGACAGGGCGGAAGAGCGCCGCGAGACTGTCAGGTAGGTCCGATCGACCGGCGTACCCTGGGTTCATCGTGATAAACACGCCAAACTGCGGGCTCACGGCAATGTCGGAGCCTTCAAACATGATGCGCTTTTCGTTGGCGCGGATGGCCAGCTAGACACGAGCAAGTCAGCGCCGTCCGCACTCGATCCATCCACACAAACGTACTTGCAGAGTTGTCACTTGCTGTCCGATCACGGACAACACTTCGATGTTGATGCGGTTGAACTCGTCGAAGCATGCCCAGGCTCCGCACGATGCTAAGCCCTGATGCAAATGTGTTAGAGGTGGTCGTGCAACCAGGGGACATGGGCGCACGAGACCTTGAAGAACTTGCCCATGGCGATGTAATCGAGGCCGTCCGAGCAGTTGAATACGACGCACTGCTTTGCGAGGGCCTTGGCGAGATCTTTAGTCGTTTCAGTCTTTCCCGTCCCCGCCGGGCCTGCAGGCGCACCCCCCAAGATCATTTGCAGCGCTGCCATCAGCGTCATGTAGCATTTGTCGGTGAGCGGCGTAATGACCAAGCGAAACGAGTTTCCAAGGTACTCGTAGCCGTACGGTCGCCGGGCGCTCACCTACGGCTGACGTCACCATGATCCTTCTTGACGTTCGAGCTTACCATTTCGGCAAAGAGGTCGTCGTTCCAGTAGTACCGCAGCTGGCTCGACCACATAAAGTCGTCCTTGTTGCTTACTTGATTCTGGGCCAAGCGCAACGTGACGTCGCGAGCATGCACGTCTATCACTGTCAACGCCCCCACACTGATGCGAGCCAACTTGTCGAGATGCCCGCGGACCTAGCGACGACGCTTAGACCAGTTGCGCCGCCAATCGCTACGAGACAAAAGCGCGAGATTGTACCATGACAACCATGTCGGCAAGCTGAGCCAGCTGATGCTCGAGCATCTTTTGCACGCCCTTGGCGCCATGCATCAGCATGCCTTCCTCCATTTCGCGGGTCCAATGGAACTGGGACCCGTTGAGGACGCACATCCCAGGCCACTTTTGAATCCACTTGACCCGGGACACCTGGGTGTAATCCTGGATCGCCTTGAACATGACCGCGCGAATCGACACGCGCATCATGTCCTCGACTTCGGTCATCCAATGCTCGACATTCTTCCCGTTCGGGTTGACCGGCGTCGCCATCGCGACCGTCTCACCCTCGGCCGAAATCATCGCCGTGATCGTCAAGTCGTCCTGGAATTCCACCTTCACGATCCCTTCAAAGCATTTCTTCAAGTGCGGCTGGACGAGCTTGACGTCCTTGGACTCGGACAAGATCGACAGCAGCTCTTCGTTCGAGAGAAAGTAGAACCGGGAGAAGCTCGACCGCTTGGTCTCCAAAAAGTCGCTCAGCCCCTTTTGCACCTGCTCGAGAAACTTGTTACTTTCCTGGAACCGGTCGAGCAGTTTTTCGTTGTTGCAAAACGTGAGCACGCTTGGTTTGGCTTTGGCCGCTTGCAGCGTCTGCCGCCAGTTCTTGTCGACCGTCGCAAACCGCTTCCCTTCCATCGGGAGTTGCTTGTTGATGTCGGGCGAATCGAAGATTGGCTGCAGGTACAGCCATGACCGCTGGACCGCCATCCATTCCTCGAGGACGTCGGAGACTGTGCTGAGGCACTTTTCCCACTTGTTGATGCGGTCCTCAAACGGCTTTTTGAACGCCGAGAACTGCATGGCTTGCGTGATCGTGATCTGCTCGTCTAGAATCGCTTGGACTTCGTCGACAGCCTTCAACACGAACGTGCCGGTCTCGCGGTATTCCACCACGGACAACCTACAACCATGCGTTGGACGAGAAACAGGACGAAAGGCACGGAGCGATCGTCGTACGCGACATGTTTCCATTGGTCCTCCATCGCGTTGAGCGCTTTTTCAATTTGGTATTCCTTGCCCGCCGTCTCGCAGATCTTGGTGATTGTGTCGATGTGGGCGTCGAGGCCGAGGCTAAGCACGTACGACAACTTCATGCCGCGGTCGGGGCGAAAGCTCATGTGGGTTTCATGATTCATTTGAGCCCAGTGGCGGTCCTGCATGCCAGGGTTGCGCAGGGCCATGACAAGGGGCACATGCGGTCGAAACTCGGCAATTTCGTTCTTGACATGCGTGGCAATGTCGAGGCACCCCTTGATGTTCATCTTTTCAAAGTACTTGGTGGCTTTCGTGATCGTGGACCAGTTGGTCTCGACGAATTGCTCAAACTCTTCCGCGACAATGTCGAGGAATGGCCCGTCCATCCATTTCTTGTGGTCCTTGATCCAGTTGTTGGCCGTCTTCCACAGCATCGAGTACGGCTCAAAGTCGCGCCGAATGCGGCTGATTTGCTCGTAGTCAGACAAGTCTTGCCCAAACAGTCCTTCTCTCGAATTAAACAGCCGTGCATCTTCCTCGGCCTTGACAATCTTCTGGTCGATGTTTACGACATACCTACACCCGCCGCCGACGTCACGGCAACGATCGAGATGGCGGGTACTTACTTGTAGACCTGCTCGACGCGCGCCAAGTCGGTGTATTGCTTGAACCCGTCCACTTCTTGATGAAGCAGCCGCAGCGACTCGTTGAACTCGACTTGCTGGTCGCGCATTTCGGCTAGGAATTGCTGGTTTTGCATGTGCAAGATGTTGGTCATTTTGTGCACTTGGTCGTAAATGTGGTTGGGGCCTAGCCGGACTCGCCAAATCGTCATGAAGTCGTCTTTGTCCATCCGATACTGGAACCCGTCGAGGACGGTCCTGTACTTGATGAGCATCTGCGACGACGCCAGCAGTGGCGCGAGCTGCGACGGGATGCTCTCGATATACTTGTTCATTTCCGTGAGTTGTTCAATGTCGGTCGGGATCTTCTGCAGTTGCCGGTGGATCGGTTCGAATTTGCTGTGCAAATCTTTGGCCAAGTTGATGCAGTTCACCAAGTGGCAGTCGAGCAGTCGTCGCGCCAGGCGGCGGTGCTTCTCGGCGAGTTGGGCACGCATCGCGACACACGTTACAGAAAACATCCCGAGCTCGACGTTCGTGGCAGGAATGGCGTCTTCGATGTCGACCGCGTCTGCGTTGTGCTGTTTGATTTTCTCGGTGAGGTCTTGGAGGTTCGGCGGGTCCTGCGCGCGAAACTGATCCAAGTACGCTTCCTCGTCCAGGTTGAGGAACCCGATGTACCGATCGTACTGCTTGAGATAGTCTCGCAGCGGCCGCTCGCTCTTCTCGAGCAGCTTCTGCACGTCGTCCCGCACCTTGACGACCCAGTCTTCGTTCGCGTTCACGTACGGAATCGACGGATGGCTGCTCCAGAACAGTTTGTCCATTACCAACTGCTCGACCTGGCACACGTCACGTCAGTCCCGCCATTGCGCATTGCCGTACTTGTTTGATATCTTTAAAGCTGTCGATGGATTTGTTGAAGACGTCGATTACGACCTGCGCAAATGCTGGGATCGGCGTATTGTACCCAAAGCAATTGCCCATCACGGGCGCGACTTCGACGATCGGACATTCTTCCTCGTCCTGGTCTACGTGGACCGACGTGAAACACATCCTCCATGACGGGCAAATCACTACTGTTGTCGCCGTTGGGGTCGTCGTCCTGAAGCCGCTTGCGTTTGATCTCGTAGTCTGCTTTCCACTGCTCGATCTGGGCCCTCGCCTCGTCCATGTCGGCTTGGTTGATCACAATCAAATCGGGGGAAACGCTCAAGTTGACCGTGAACAGCGCTGGCGGGTTCTGAATCTGCCGTTGGCGGCACAGGTGCTCAAACTTGGTTTGCCCCAACTCTCCTGCGACACCCAAAGCAGACTCATTGACTTGCCAAGCCATCGGATCGTACCGCGACGCGAGTCCAAGTCTGTGTACGACAAGAATGTGGTTTTGGCATCGAGAATCTTGACGTTCGCCTCCGTTGCTTTCTCGACAAACGATCGAAACGAATGCAACGACTGCTCCGACATGAATCGCAGCGTGTCCTACATGGGTGCGATGACGTCGCCACGAGCACAGCCAACGCCAAGACGTACTTTCATGGTCAAGTTGACTCGGCGCAGGAACGATCGGAGCTTACTGAACTCGTACGTGTCTCGACGCGTTTCCTGGAGGTTGTACCATCCCTTCCCGACATGCCCGAGCGACGTCTTGATGGCGTGCGTGAGTTTGTTGGGCCAGTCTTCGTGTACAACTTTGTGGATCGCTCGCTCTTGCGTGTTTTGGCGCTGCTGGAATTCCTCTAACTTGAGACTGCGCGACGTCTTGAGCGCAAACACGTCCATGCACAGCATGCGATAACATTCCTCGTTCACTTTCACGACGGCGGACAGGGTCTCGGGGGACGTCAAGAACGTCTGAAATGAAAACCCGATAAACTGGTCGGCGTAGTCGATCGGCGGCGCGACTTCGTGGTGCTGGACCGACGGCCGCGGGCGAACCACCACAGATGCATCGTCCAACGAGTCTGCGATCAAGTGAAAGTCCATCCCAGCCGACGGATGCGTCCGCTGCTGGTGGTCGAAAATGATGCGGCTCATCGTGCGAAGGTAGTCCGTGTGGACTTCGGTCACAATGCGCGCAGTGTCCGGCACGGGGATATTCTTGGCTACAAACGGCACCGACGCGAGCTTGAGGATCTTGTTGATGTTCTCCGACCCGAGTTTGTGAAGCCCGTCCGACGGCATGCAGTCGATGTATACGTTCTTTCGGATCGCGGATTGAGCGGCGAGTCGGGCCCTGTGTGCCGCCACCACCCGCTCCACGAATTGCATCGGGTCTTCCGCCTAGAATATGCCTCCTAAACAATGCATGGGGATGTGAGAATCGAGTCTACCTTGAAGCAAACATCGTTGCGGTGGAGTTGGACATCATCATCGTGGCCTTGGTTCCGAAATCGCACGATGAACATGCGCCGGGCCGAGTTGAACCCAACCACGAGCCCTTCGCACCAGATATTGGCCACACCTGGGCGACCGTAGAGCGCTGTGACTGGAATCGCGATCGCCCCGTCCTTCTTTTTTCCACACGATATCCATTCCTACCACACGGACGTCTCTCTGGTCACCTGCCGGTTTGCTCAAAACTTGTCAAACCTCTGCTTCCCGAACTTCGTACGACTTGTCATCGAACCAGTGGAGCGGCATGGCTTCGAGCAGCTGCAGCGCAATGCCACTGGCGTCACTCAAGACAGTCGCATATTCTGGGCTTTGAAATAGCTGCGCCAAACGCTCCCCCACGAGAGCTCCAACGTCGGCCGCTTCAAATTGACGTTTTTTACTGGCGCGAAGAATGAGCAGTCGGGATGAAAGGGCGTACGCAGGTACCGTTCGACTTCCACTTGGCGAGGAGGTTGATCGATCGTGCGTTCGTGCGGCAAAAACACCTTTGGCTCAATATCTCCCCGCTGCTTGCGAACGATGGGCACCGTCTGCAGCACGACGGGCATTCCCACGGTATATGCTACAACCATGTAAGGATGAAACATGTCCTTGTAGACCATGCATGACGAATTTCATTTGCACCTGGAGGAACATCGACTGTCGCCTGCGCTCCCACAGTATGTGTGGTCGCCTTGAGGGATGTGCTTGTATCTGGCGTTGGAATCGGATCCAAATACAGCACACTCACGCTCTTTTCGTCTGTGGGTTTCGGCTTGACCGGACTGGTCGACGGAGCTAACGTCTTCCGCCCTCGCTGCGACGAGTTCAGGACTATGCACAGAAAGACAACCGTGGACGTACCTTGGTTGGGCTCGGCATCGCGTGGCACTTCCGAGGTCCTCACGTGCTTCCGCTGCAGCGACGTTGCACGGGTGAAGCGAACTGCCGCGCGACCTTTCGACTGGGGCGTTTCCTGGTTCGCAGATGCAGTTATCCGGATGAGTCACTTGACTCCCAGAGTGTCCGGATATAATAACGATGTAAGCATACTAGTAAGTTAAACTTACTAGTAGTTCAATATTGGCAGCATGTTTCAAATCATCTCCTCTAAAATTGAGACTAAATAGTGTGACAACTTGTCACAAGAAATAGTGTCAACGTGGGTGCGTAGAAGGACGAACACGTTGCACGCATCGAAGTCGCATCATGTGGCGTGTGGCGGCTCGGCTCAACCAGCGAGTGCGGCGAAGCGGCGTCACCGCTTGTCGCTTCACCACAATGGCGGAAGAGGCATTGCCAACACCACCCGACGAAGGCGCCAAGACGATTCATCGCATCAGCCCGAATATCTTGCGATCGCAGGAAGATACCCGACGCGTGCAACTTCTCATCCGCACGTTCAAGCAGTACGGGCACTTCGTCGCGCACATCGATCCGCTCCAAAAGAGTGAAAAGTTACCGGAGCTCCAGAAGTGGAACTGGGGAAGCCGGTGGGTCGAAAAGCCGTTCTTTGACGACTTCAATTTGGAGTCCCTCGCCCACAGCGCGACGTTGGAACTGCGAAACCACGGTGCGATGTGTCATCCGAGCATCCTCATGACAACGATATTTGATAGGATTTTCGGAAGAGGATCTGGACCGCGAATTCTTCATCGGCGACGATTTGTCCATTGGGCCAGTGGCCACACTGCGCGACGTACGTCACAATTCTGTGGTGTGCTCATCCATAAACATGACATTTCCAGATCGTTACACAATTGCGTGCGCTGTTCTGCGGGCACATTGCAACGGAATACCAGCATCTGCGCAACCGAGAAGCGGCCTTGTGGATCCGTGAAAGCCTCGTCAAGTACAATGTGCGCCATTCTTGTATTCCCTCCAGAACGGATGTCATGTTCGGGTTACCATGCATTTCTAGGCCCACCAATTCACGCCGGCGGAGAAAGTCGCGATCTTCAACGACATGTTGCACGCTGAACTGTTTGAAAAGTTTTTAGGGCGCCGGTAGCGTGCGCATTGATGGGGATGCATCCATGGTGATGTCGCCGGTCGTAGGTTCTCAGGGGCAAAGCGATTTTCGGTGGAAGGTGGCGAGAGCTTGATCCCCGGGCTCAAGGAACTACTACAAACCGCCAGTGACTTGGGTGTGGAAGCAGTGTACATGGGCATGGCGCATCGAGGTCGGCAACGAAATCGCATCGTGAATCAAGCCATTGACAGCGACCATAGGCCGGTTGAATGTACTCGCCAACGTCCTGGAGCGGCCGCTTCGGTCCATCATGTCCCGCTTTCAGCCGTACTTGCCAGACGAACCAGACTACCCCAACGACTCGGACGACGTGCGGTATCACTTGGGCACGGTGTCCCATCTCTCGATGCGAAGCGGCAAAGATTTGCAAGTGCGTACACAGCACCATGTCACGTAAAGTAGAAGGGGATGCCACGAATTCTACTAGGTGACGCTGTCGGCAAATCCGTCGCATTTGGAAGCGGTTTGTGGTCGTTGATCGTGGCCACCTGTCCTGACGGCAACCTAGGTCAACTCGGTAGTGCTGGGAGAGGCCAGGGCGTGCCAAGACATCCTTCGAGACACCGATCGGTCGCGCGTGATGCCGCTGTTGCTGCATGGCGACGCCTCCATGTTCCAAGGCTCCGTCCGGTACGACACTTCTCCATGGCTGCACTCACCCGCATGGTGGTGTTGCTGGTCGATGACGTGCATACTGACGATGACGTCTCGCAGTGAAGCGTTTGGGTTCAGTGGTCTCGAAGACTTCAAGACGGGGGGGACTGTCCACGTGATTATTAACAACCAAATCGGGTTCACGACGTTGCCAAAGCAGGCCGACACGGCCATTTACTGCAGGTGGGTCGAGTGCATGAAAACCTTGCGGTGGGATGGTCGCTCACCCGGATACCGATAGTGACGTGGCCAAGATCTCGAGGAGTCCCATCTTCCACGTCAACGGTGACGACCCGGAAGCCGTCGTCAAGGTCATGAAGATGGCGGTGGAGTACCGGCAAAAGTACAAGTGCGACGTTGTCGTCGACTTGGTGTGCTATCGTCGCCATGGCCACAACGAACAAGTAGGAGAATTGCTTGGAATGTGCAGAAGAGAGGCATGTCTACGTGTATTTTTCCAGGACTCGCCAGAGATCACGGCGCCAGTGATGTACCATTGCATCAACAAGCACCCGACCGTGATCAACTTGTACTTTAAGCAGTTGCAAAGCCAGGGAATTTTGACGACGGAGGGGTGTACCGACATGATCTCGGGGATCGAACAAGGCTTAGCGAGTGAGCACGAGCACTCCAAGACGTCACCGTCGTTTTGGGACAACCTCGGGGACCACCACAGCGAAGCGAATCCAAACGAAGCCACTGCAGGGAGCACGGGAGTGGATCGTAAGCTGCTCGAGGAAATCGGGGCACAGATCTTTCGCATTCCGACGACGTTCACGGCCCACAAAAAGGTACCTGTTGCACAGACGTGAAAAAGAGAAATCGTTCTCGATGTGTGTTGCAGGTTGAAGCGATCATGAACAACCGCCTTCGGGCTGTCGAAACAGGTGCTCGCGTCGACTGGGCCACTGCTGAAGCGCTTGCGTTTGGTTCGCTCCTCGCCCAAGGGATCAACGTACGCCTGAGTGGCCAAGACTGCGAGCGCGGCACATTCAATCAGGTTTGAGTCGATTTTTCGTGGCTCGAGTCTCACCGACTTAGCGCCACGCTGTGCTGTACGATCAATATGAAGCCCTCTCCATGCGCAACATTACGTACACGCCATTGAACGGTCCGTAGCGTCGAGTTTGGCCATCGTGACATGTTGGATGTAGAATTGTCGCTCGACGGACTAGTGGCAAAGGTGCCCAAGTATGAACTGCCGGCAAACGTGGCGCCGCGCATCCAAGTGTGCAACAGTCCGTTGAGCGAGGAGGGTGTGCTCGGCTTTGAGTACGGGTACTCGTTGCAAAGGTAGGCAGTGCCTCGTATTTCTCGGCTGGCATGACAGCACATCATGGTGTGATGGGCGGTAGCCCCAACGCGCTTACAATATGGGAGGCCCAGTTTGGAGACTTTGCCAACGGCGCGCAAACGATCATCGACACGTTTATTGTGTCAGGAGAGCAAAAGTGGCATCGTCATTCCGGTGAGTCGTTGTCTTGCCGCATCGTTGACATGGATGGTCTCGTTCTAGGCTTGATACTGAACCTCCCGCATGGCTACGAAGGCCAAGGACCAGAGCACAGCAGCGCTCGGATGGAACGATTTCTCCAACAATCGAATGAAGACCCTGACACTTTCACGACCGACACGGTCAAGGCTGATTTGCATGCGAACATCCACATTGCGATTCCGACCACGCCGGCGCAGTACTTTCACGCGCTGCGCCGTCAAGTGTGTGCATCGTACGCATCATGTAAAAAGGGGGCTCTTTCGAAATCACCGATTGGACTAGCTATCGCAAACCACTGGTGATGTTCACCCCAAAGTACCTGCTCCACCATCGGCCGTGTACATCGGACTTGAGGCACTTTAGCCTTGACACGTCGTTCCAGCGAGTGCTGGGCGACCACCCCGACGATAAGAAGCGCCTCGTTTCGAATGATCAAGTACGTCACATGAGTCGACGGTGTGATGTTCACGACGTGGGGTGTTGTCGTTTTGTGTAGGTGCGTCGCATCGTCCTGTGCAGCGGCAAGATCTACTACCCCGTCGTTCAGAGCATGCGTGCACGCAACATTCACGACATTGCGACCGTGCGAGTCGAGCAACTCGCTCCGTTCCCGTTTTCCCAAGTGGCGTCTCAAATCGAGCAATACCCGAACGCGGAAATCCTTTGGGTGCAGGTCGTTCTTGGAAGCGACGGAATGCACGGCGGTCTGACAACAGGGCGGCGCTGAGTAGGAGGAACCAAAAAACATGGGCGCGTGGTCGTATGTCCAGCCTCGACTTGCAACGGTGTTGCACGCCATCGAAGATGTAAGAGTGTCCACGGCTTCCTCTACATGATGACGATGGCGTTTACGTAGTCGCGGCGCGTGGGATATGTGGGCCGGCCCCCTGCGGCATCGCCCGCGACGGGGCAATTTGAAATTCACCAGCAAGAGATGCGAATCATTGTCGACGACGCACTTGCATAGTTTCAACACATTGTGTGCTCCTTTACACGTGTGCCAATTACGTCACCAGTGTCCTAACACGTTCGAATACAGTGTGTCTTGCCGCTGCCGCATGGCCAAGTACGCCGCGTGCGCTTGTAAAGATGGTGTCGAGCAGCTTTGCAAGTGCTTGGTGCGTTTTGTCGCTGCCTGCGGTTCGTCCGAGTTGCCAAGGTGGGCTCCCAGCAGTGTCGCCACGCCACGGGAAGTCAGTTCAATTGCGTCAGTCTCGAGCCACACGGACCGACCAACGACATCCGCTACACATTCTTGAGATCGTCCGGGTGCAATTCAGTTTAGCAATTGTACGAACCGATGATTTGTCGCCACGCGGGCGACGCGCTCAGCGCTGTGCCGCTAGCGATCAGCTGAGCGTCTGGGGTGACAAAGTCGCCTACTCGAATTGGTTTGGCAAAGCCGCGCCGACAAACATAGACTGTACCGAGCAAGGCATATATGGACCCCAAGCGCAGAGCGACCGATTCCAACGCCGCCCGTAGGATGTGCACCGGCGTCGTGGCGGCCGTGATCCCGCTAATCGTACACTTGGCATCTTCGTGCCACCCAGGGGCACGCTCCCCTGCCAAAAATGAACTCGTAAGCAGAATACAACCAAGGGCGGGGGGGCACATCACCGTTTAAGAACGGAAGTATCGTGAGCGCGTGCTCTCCTGGATTCAAAGCTTCCACTTGTCGCATGGCGTCTAAGTCATGGGTGAGCAGCCAAGTGCGACAATGCGGCACGACCTGGAGGTAGTGCCAGCGTTTGCCGAGCCCATTCGAACACGGAGCCGCCGTCCGTGAGGGCGCCCCCGAGAATTGCATGCGTCGAAGTCACGCGGTAGCAAAACAGCCCTCGAGGTACTTTGGGAATGGCTATGACTGGAAGCAGTACGCGCATGGCTGCGCTTGTTCCCACCGTCAGCCCAATGCGACTGCAGCAGTAACGTCAGAGCCACTCGATGGCATCGTTCGGCGTACTCTGGGGTAGTACAGTTGGACCCAATGTTAGCTGCGGCTCCGTCGGCCAGCGCCAAAAAGTACGGGGAATCTTGAAGGATAGGCCATCGCTTCGCCAATGCGGGCTTCAATCTCCCAGCTACTGGAATCGACGGATCCTACGACCTCCATTGAGTGGTTCTCCTGCGTTCGGCCTCGTGACGTACTTGGATGGTTGGCAGCGTACTCACGTCCACATGAATGAGTTCCAGGAGCTTGGCGTCCCATGCAGCGTCTCTAAAATCTGCGAGCCCTGTCCACGACGCTTCACTGTAGCTCATCGGGATGGGAGATTCGCTGCCAAGCCAATGCCACAACAACACCCCAACCAGCGACTGCCACATCGCCACATCGGTAGTCGCACCACGTTTTAGCAACTGAGGCGCTGCATACGCAGGATGGATGGGCACGCCCGTTCGATTGTATATCTAACGGTATCGTTCCATGACGCATGAAATGGAGTGAAGAATGCAAAACTACCTCGTGCTGCAATCCATGACTGGCCAATGCCTTCGTCAAAGCTTTCGCATCCGACGCACATCGACCAGCGTACGTCAGCACTGGCGTCATGGGTTTGCCAGTCTTATCGACTCCAACGAGCGACATGGCAAAGCAAGAAAACCCAACGCCCACAATTCGAAACGCAGCGTCCTTTGACAGCCAAGCCGTCGTCTGGTCCTTCACCCCTTCCTACGACAAGAAATTCTCGCATAAAACGTCGTCGCAAACGGAGCTTACCACCGCTTCTTGAATGACGGCCACTGAAGCAGTACCGTCGTGTGCTAGTGCTCGCAGTTTGAGTTGGTGGAGTGAGCCCGGTACAAGTGTCCACGTGTCGCCATGCAGGACATAAGCACTCGCACGCACGGACGAACTTCCAATGTCGACAACAAGAATGGCATTTGCCTTCTCCTTGACCTCCAATTGCCTTTTTATGCGCACAGCCCTTCGATATGCCCATGCAGATGAGAGAATGGCCGCTGCGCCGGCCGCTGCAGCCGCTGCGAGCTTCATGTCGAAAGTGTGCCAAGATCGGAATCGGAAGTGTTGTTCGTATTTTCTAGTATTACTAGTTCATTGCAAGTAGGAGTATTATCCATCATGTCCGGATAACGTCGAAATTCGGACGACTTGTCAACATATCTATTGACCAAGAAGGAACTCATGTACACAACCTAACCAGAGCCACGAACACCTTGACGGCCAAACAGCCACGGCATTGAGTTGTATCCATGCCGAAGAGCATGCTATGGAACACCTCGCGAATGGCGATGGAGCTGCATCAAACTTGGTGCATTGCAAATAGGTGAACAATACTATTCCGACGGACAAGTACGGGAAGAATATTTTTTATTTTGACAGTTGTCTATGGATATTCGTATCGAATTGCTAGAGATCAATTAAATATCTGTCGGTGCTTGTATTTTATTTCCCAACCATGTGACCTCAAAGCGAAAGGCGAACGCTGTTCCGAGTGGAACACGTGGGAGCTGGCTGAGGGCGACGACACGAGCGCCACTTCTTTCTCATCACTGCGCAAGGAGATTGGTATAATCGCCCTTGGGTCGGACGGAAGAGTTGGCTGTAGTGCTGCCGAGTGTCACAGTGAGATGCCCTTGATCCAAACCATCCAGCAGGCCGTCCTCCAAACCATTAAGCGCAATGGCGGCCGCGCATTCAACATGGCTGAAGTTGTCGAGATCAAGGAGCTGTGTGACCGACTCCTTCCGAGCGACCGTACGTCGTAATGTCCCATCGAGAAGACTTGAATTGAGGATGTGTAGTCGGGCTGGAAGTGCCACGACCGGTATCTGTCGACCAGCTTCCCCGCTTTCGGCCAATTCGATACATCGAAGTTTACGAAGACACGGACATTTCGATGGGGTACGAGGACTTTCTTCTTTTATCTCATGGTCCTCAATGAACACCGTAGCATCTTCGTGATGCCTCCAGGCACTTCCATTCCGCTTCACAACCATCCTCAGATGACTGTGATTTCCCGCGTGTTGTATGGCTCGATGCAAGTGAACGCATTTGATCTCGTAGCTCCAGAAATCGACGAAGAGTTTTGGCGCCGCAAAGAGGAGCGCATTCGCAACGCCGAGCTCAAGCACAACCGGTTTCCTCGGTTTCGACCGCGGCATTTAAAGGTCGCGGTCCGGCGAAACACAGAACTCGTACATGGCCCGACAACGATTGAGCTCTTGCCCGATCGATGCAACATCCACGAGTTCGTTGCCGTTGGGGACGTTGGATGCGCCATCTTTGACATCCTCACGCCAGGCTACAATCCACTGTACGTGGCAGCAGCCTCGGTCGATATCCAAATGTGTAACTCTACAACGCAGGGCAGGGCGGGATTGCACATATTATCGAGCGTTGCTGCAAGTGGAAGGGGGCACCGAGGACGAGCCATGGCATGTGCTTGAGCCGTCAAACTTACCCCCGTCATCCTTTGTGTCGGTGGATTTGCCATACCACGGACCGGCACTGACCCATGTCCCTGTGGACGACAGCAGCGAAGGCCAGTCAGCAGAGCATTCGTAGAGGTTTGTGTTTCCATCATTGTAAGCAACAAAGACGATGTGTTGGACCGCCGATCCAAACATGCGCAGTGTCCTGGCGCTTGACGGCGTCGTGCGCCGCCTCTTACAACGTTCATGGGGCATTCGCCCGATGCAGCTTGCATTCGCGGTCTTATCTCCCTGCCATTTTGGCCAAGTCGAGGATCACGTTGGGCTGGGGGCGACCGATGGAGAGCACCATGTCAAAAGGCGTCAGGAATTAAATTACACAAGTGCGGTCGACTAGACAGCGGTGTACGGTCCACGAGGTGATTGCGTTTCTTGTGGACGGAATCGCGCCGTTTGGCCCGTGCGATGGGCCTGCCACTCCGGGGGCAGCTGGCGATCGTACGTGTCTTTGGTAGCGCCTTTGACACACCCGCCGATCCCGAATCGGCGGCAAATGCGCAGGACAAGGAAGATCGTAGCGCCGAGGAACCGAATAACGTTGAAAAACGCGACGATGTAACTGAGCCATTGGAAGTAGCACGACGACGGGATGTACGTCATGATGATGTACATCCAGATCCCGTTGGACAAGAGCCACGACAAGAGCAGCGTCGATCGGAACGCGCGGAAGCTGTTGTCGACTTCTTCCTTCTCTTTCGCGGCCAGCTGCCGCGCCGCTTCGAGCTTTTTTTGCTGGGCCACAACGTCTTTGACATTGCCCCCGGCTTGCTTGGTCGGTCCATGTCCGCCGCCAGACTCGAGCCCTTTGGTTCCCCAGCTCAAATCGTGCAGGTTGCTATACGCGTAGATGCCGAGGACGTTCTACGAAAACGCAACCCACATCAACACGGAGACGTCGATGGGAGCGAACAACCGTACCACAAACGTGGGCAGCATGAAAAAGTATTGGACACAACTCAGCAAGATCGAAAACTCGCCGTGGAGAAAGGCCGAGAGGAACACGAGCCCAAGCGAACTCACGACGCCTCCGACCAACTCAAAGTTGGAGACCGAGCAATCTTGGACTGCAAGTCCTGCGCGAGGGTCCTTGACCGACACGTCCTTCGCGACGAGGCCGTAGAACGACAGACCACTCACCATCATCATCACGATGCCCAAAAACAAGCAACTGAAAAAGTAAAAGCTCGCGGTCCTCGGTTCCGGTTTGTTGCCCAGCGCAAAGACAATCAGCCCGCCGACAATCGCCAAGTACGTGGTCAAGATCGCTTGCAGAATCGCTCCTGCGTTCGTGTACAAGGCCAGCGTCAGCACAAAGTTGAACGTTAGGAACAGGTTGGACAAGAGGAACCACGACAGGAGGTTCTGCAGCGCCAGGTACACAAACTGGAGCGTAAACACGACTTTCCGCGCCGGCGAGTGCGCGCTGTTGCGCCACACCCGTCCAAAATGGCCAATTGCAAACAATCCGGCGAAGAACGACCCATTCAGCCATCGGCGGCGCTGCTTGATCAAGTCGACGAGCGTCATGGGCACGTCGGTTCGAGCAATTGCGTCCTTGACGTAGTGCATGGTCCACTGGCGCCCCTCGCGCGCGAGCAATTCAAAACACAGAATGCGATCCTCCGCCAAGTACATGTTGCCTTGAAACGGGCCAAGGTCCTTGGTCGTCGACGTCAAGCTCTTAAAGTATTCTGGAAGCGGCCCCGTGCCTTTGACGGCGCGAATGGCTTCGTACCGGTAGGCCGAAAACGCGCCCGGCAGCACCGAGATGAAGCCAAACACACTTTCAAGCGATTTGTCCATGATGTTGGAGATCTTGTACTCAAAGTGCTGGGCTGCAACGACCGGGTTGAAGTAGTTGGGCTTGTCGACTGCGATCTCGCCCGCGACACCGCCAATTTGGTAGTTGCGTTCCATGCTTCGAATCAATCGGTACACGGACGACTCGGCTGGCACTGTCCCGACATCGACAAGCACCGTGTACGTCGGGTTGAGCTGCTCTGCAAATGCGTTGAAGAACCACAGGTGCGAGTTGAGCTTGCCGCCGTTGTGCTCCTTGAGCGCGTAGATGAGCTGGAGCGGGGGGTAGTATTTTTCATAATTCTTGGTCTCCACGAGCTGGACCGTCGATTCGAACAGGTGCATGTGGGTGTCGACTCCGAGCGACGTCACCGTCATGATCTCTTCGTCGAAACTCCCGAGACTATTGAGGTACTCCAGGCACGACGGGCTCGCTTTCGTGCGGCCGTCCGACACAACCGCGACCGCAACATGCTTCCAGTAGTCGTCCCCGTACTCCTTGCACATGTACCGGATGCCTTGGGCCAACCCCGTCAGTGTTCCTTTGAGCTCCTCGCCGTCTTCGTTGTACATGGTCACCGTGATGAATACTTTGATCTGGCGCTGGAGCTGGTGCACGCGGAGCACGTACTTGTCGTTGCTGAATTGAATCGGGTCCTTTGTCGCCACGGCTGTGTATCGCATGTTCTTAAACTCGTCTGCGTCGTGGTGCGGAGGAGGTCGGTCCCCCCAAGCCTTTTCCACGAGCGGGACGTTCGTTCGCGCGATCTTGAGCGCCGGTGGCAACGCAGCCCGCCGCGCTTCCTCTTCCACGTCATTCATCCACTTGGACAGCTCGTCGGCACGCTGGAGAATCTCATGCGACTTCTGCGCGATGCCCTTCCGTAGCAACGGATCGACTTCACGTCGACCGACTTCGACTAGCATGCTGCCAGCTTCTGCATACAGCTCAATCGCGGCCGCGGGATTGGCGTCGACTTCCATTTGAACCGCCGCCTGGACTAGACGAAACGCGCCTTCATACGATACGCCTCCATCAAGAAGCTCTTCAGCGGTATGGGGCAGTGGAACGATGGACGACCCCATGCGCATCATGCTCGCTTGACGGAAACTCTTCTGGCGTTCTTGAACGTTTCTGGCCATGTTGAGGAGGGCAGCTGGAGCCGGCACTGCCTGTTCGTCCGACAGGTAGCTGTTGCCCGAGTCTTTCGTGTCTCTCCACAACGGCACTTGGTTGAAGGAAGCATCGATGTCAGAGCCAATGGGGCTGCCTTCGACGTACGCACCGCCAAATTCAAACGATTCCATCGGGGCCAATGGGCGCGGAGGTTGTGCTGTCGTGTGCGGTGGTGGGACCGGGGCTGTCGACGGAACCTCCGTAGGGGGAGGGGTCTTATTCTCCCTCAGCGCTCGAAGTCGAGCTTCCAAGTCGACGTTCGGGTTGCTCATGCGAGTCGTGAGTCAGGTGTGCGCTCGTAGCCGCCGGACTTCAGGTCTCGTTGGTGAATATGCACGTGACGTCGAGCATGTGTAGCGCCAATCCCTGGAAGGGTTATGGGGGGTGGCAAGAAAATGATGGGTTGGGTTAAGTGCGACTGACTCTTTGCTTGCGAGCGACATCGCTTGCAATCGCTACCTACATTGAAAGGCTGCCAGCGAGACATACGTCCTCCATTGTTCCAAGCGCCGTTGTGCACATTACATGAAGCCATGCCCAGCCACTTCGAACAGCGACGACAACAATAGCGGATTCTTTGCTTGCATGTCCATGTTGGCATTGGCTGACTCGATTTTGGTCGTGGGTGGATTCAGGGGGGGGGTGGAGGTAAAACGCGGTCAAAAAAATTGGAAATTAATGTAGCCAATCAAAGCATGCTTATGTCGCATGCGTCCTTTTGATTGGTGGACATCCAATTGGAAAAACGACGGCATCATGTCCACGACGGTGGTCGCCTCGTCGATGAGGGCAAAGAATTGGAGGGCAAAGAATTGGAGGTGGCCAGCGATGCCTGCGGGTGTGGCAATGTCATTCGGGGTATTCGTCACATCTAGAGGTTGCGCAACGACCTTGCGCTCACGGGAGTTTGCAGCACGCTCTTCCGCATGGCCGCACTACGTCCATGCCATCGTGAGACTCGCATCGAGATCCACGATATTCACACCTATCACGTTTGGCGATGGCCTTTTCGATGTTCTCTTCCGTCGGCGGGTTCCACAGTGTCAATCGTTGTCCCTCGTGGCAATAGTATGGCCGGCCTTTTGATCGAGACATTCGCATCTCCCATCCAGGCGGCAGCGGTGGCGCCGCCAAGGATCCTCGATACGTCGAATCAGACACTGACGGGCGAAAGTCGTCATGGTGATGAAGGTCCGCTCGTGGATGCGAGTACTTGTTCTTCATTTGCGCGACACGGTCCTTCAAGCTTGACACTGACGGCGATGCTCTACTCTCGATCACACGTCATACTTGTCCAACGTTGCTGACAACGAATGGACTCACCGCAAACTGTTAGCATTGACAAGTCCATTCGACAGCGCCATCCGGGTCGCGGTCGCGTCCACATCCAAGGATGCACCGAGCTGTTGCGCAGCGGATTGAAGGAATGCTCTGGAATCGATTGCTTTTTGAAAGGCTGCCGCAACATCATGCGCGCCGCTCTGAATCGCTGCGATTTCTTCGGACGATCCTGTTTGGTCGAGACCACGGCGGTCTTTTCGCGACCCAAAGTTTTTTCGTTGACGACTCGACGACGACGAATAGTGGAGCAACGACGGTGGCGCGCCTCCACTGCCGACTCCGCCAGATCCATGCGAGCTCCGCAGGCGGTCTAGTTCCTTTTGCAACTGCGCAATTGTTTTGTCCTTGTCTCGAGCCTGTTCTTCCTGTTGGCGGAACTTGACGTGCTGTGCGGCAATTGCGAGCTCTTTTTCAGCCTTGACCTTTTCTGCCTGCTCCTTGCACAACCCGAGCGCAGCCTTGAGGTCGTCAACCTCCTTGCGAAGGCGCACGTTTTCTTTTTCGATACGATCGATCATGCCGCCCGCGTCCGCCATGACCATTTGTGCGGACGACTTGCGGCGTTCCCGACTGCCGTCTACACCAAAGCCACCGCGATTTCCTTCGTCAATGGCATCGTTTTCGTTGAAGTGAAGTCGCCGAAGATCCTTTTGTTGTTCGACCTGCAGACGCTCCTGCAACGTCCGTAGCTGTTCTTGCATGGTTTGTTGGCACTTCATGTCGGCAAGGCGACGCATGTATTGTGCGCGATGAAGGTGCATGCGCACAAGGGCCTGAATTGCCACGGCACTTGCTTTGAGTTGAAGAAAGTGCCGTCTACGCCAGGCAATGTTAGCGGCAACCTTCCATCGTGTCGTGCACACGACGGGTCAGAGTGCATGCCATTGCGACGTCAGTTCTGCCGCTGGATTTTCGATCCAAGAAATGACAAAATCACTCCAACACACTTGCGAAGCACTCCAGATACCTTTGATGGGCGCCGACGACGATCGCATACACCAGCTCTGCCTTGTGCTGCCGTTGGAGGACGTAAAACAACTGGCGCGCTTTGATGCCGCGCCATCGACTCTGCAGCACAAGAGCGCCACGGTACAGCGTGTTGTACCGGGTGAGCGCCAACATGCAGCGCACCACCGACTAGGTCGCCATGGTCATCGTCTCAAGATGGGACCTCGAACTCCCACCTGGAGTTTGATAATTGCTTGGAGCTTGCGCTGGTACTGGCGCCGCTTGGTGCATCCGCGAAGGATGCGCTGCATGACGACGACTTTGGCGTACAAGTACTGCCGCTTGCGATCTTCCATGTCTTCCACGACACCTGCTTGAAAGTATATCTTGGTACGGCCGACTTGAAAATGCAACGGCGCCGTCCACTGCGGCACTTGCGCCAAGATCTATCAACGTCCCGATGAAGAGCCAAGCCAGTTCGATCTTCAGCCGACCTTGAGACAAAGCTCCTTGGACGACATTGTCTGGGCCAAGATGTCGGGGTAGCACATGCCGTACGTGCCGAGGAACTCAACGTGGGTCTGCCGAACAGGGTACGCGGACCGCGCGATGCGGATCGCTTCGATGACCCCCGCGCACCGCAACTGCGAAATCACCATCGAGTGATCGAACGTGGCAGAACTCTTCTCCGCATTCGGCTTGATGCAACGAATGTACTGCACTTTCGTTGCTTGAATGGTGCCCATGAGCTCGGACAGGTTGGTTTTGAACTGGTGCCCGACGGTCTGAAGCGCAAGGGAACGAGTCGACGGTCGTCGTTTCAATGAAGGTCTTGATGTCGCGGTGGCCGGCGTCTCGGCAAACAGTTGTGACACGAACGGCGCCATGGACGACCGCATGAGCTGCGCCAAGTCCGGTAGCAAGGCATCCTTGTGCTTTTCGAGAAAACCCGTCACGTCATACAGGACGGGGGAAGCATAGTGGTGGATCACAAAGTGCGTTCGGCTCGTGCGTGGAAACTCGATCACTGGGTCGTCCTTCATGAGCAATGCCGCCTTGGCAACGAACGACTCTTCATTGCCCTACAAACGTGCACAAAAGGCCTCGAGCGATTTTGAAGTGGGTCGCAAACGCACCTTGGGCCGCACGAGCTCTTCGTCAAGAAGCGACAGGAGCCCCAGCTTGGACTCGACAACCTGGAGCACGTCGGCGTTGTCGGCATAAGCGATGTGGGTCCACTGAATGCCCTCGTCGTCGTACTCGACTTGGACCGTCTTGAACACGTCAAACGTAAACTTTTGTTGGAGCTTTTCGTTGGCGTAGTTGATGCAAAATTGCTCAAACGAGTTATGCTGAAAGTGCTCGAAACCGAAAATGTCGAGCACGCCGATGTGGTGTTGCATGCGGGACGCATGCGACAACGACGTATTGATGAGCGCCACGAGCCAGTCGAACAAGTTGGCGTACAGCGCTTTGGCGAGCGCGTCGCGGCAGTGCTCCGCGCCGACCTACACGCAGAGTCGTACGAAAACATCGGACACGCTTGGGAATTTCCATCGTGACGCTCGCTACCTTGGTCAATGGAACGCTGTACTTGTCGTTACGGGCTTGCATCGTTCGCGAACATAATGCTCGCTCCAGCGTGTTCCGATCGACACCCAGCAGACTGCAGACGTGCGCCGTGTGGGTGCAAGGCGGAGCAATTTGCGATGCTTCATCGGACGTTGCGGAAAACTGTGGTTGACACGGGGTACAGTCAGACTACAGCCCCGCAGCAAGTCGGAAGATGTGTGCCAGCGTTACCTGCATCTGCCCGAGGTGCAAAATACCGGCCAGCACACGAAACAGAGCCATTTGGTGCGCCGTGTCCAAGCCGATGCGCCCTAGAGCCGCTTGCGTCTTCTCAAAGTGGGCCAAGTCCGAGTGGCCTTCGATGACAGCCGTGTGCAACGGGCCAAGGTAGGCGTATTCAGGCGCAGCATCGCCTTGGGATAGATGGAGCTCAGGCAGCTTCGATCGAGCTGCCAACACCTACATGTAATGTCCGTGGTGGGATGACATGGCGAGGGGCAAGACATTCGACTCCAACTTGGTAAAAGATGTGATAGTTGCGTTCCGCGGGTTCGTGAGTGATGACACGGGTCTTCTCGAGCAAGTACGTCATGCATTGTGCGCCGACGAGCGTCCCCTTGGCGTCAAACTGGAGCTGTGTGAACTTGCCAAATCGCGAGCTGTTGTCGTTGCGCAGAGTCTTGGCATTACCGAATGATTCGAGCAATGGATTGACCATAATGATGTTGGCAATGGTCGCATCGTTCAGACCCCCTGCAATCGTGGCCAAGTGGTTCATGAGAATTTTCGTCGTTTCTGTCTTGCCGGCGCCAGACTCGCCGCTCACGAGCACGGACTGGTTCCGATGATCATGCAACATGCTCTGATACGCTGTCACAGACGTTGCGTACACATGCGGTGGGAGCTCATCCCGCGCCAAGCGCTGGTACTTGAGATGTTGCTCATCGGAATACAGATCTCCCAGCCACTGGTACGGGTTCACAGCTATGCAAATGTCTCCTGTGTACGTGTAAGGCTGATGAGCAAGAAACCGAGCCTTGATGTTGAACAGGATCGCTGCTTCGTGGAGGTAGTTGAGCGTGATCATGTCGTCAACGTTCGTCACGTCGTTTTGCACAGGCAATGTATCAATCGATGCATTGGATTGTCCTTTTCCACTCATCAGGGCTACCGTCTTCTTGTCTGCAAAGTCGACAATCCGCACTGAGTCGTTGGCAACATGAGGTAAATCCTTCAACACTTTGACCTGCACTTGCTTCGTCGACGGATCGTGGCTGATGACCTGACCTTGAAGCCAAGCATGTGCCTCATCAGGAATATAGCAAAGTGTTCCGGGGACCATCTCGACCACCATCGCCGCCGCTCCTGTCGCAGCGCCGCCAACACGTGTGTTGCAAATGTACCCCGATGCGGATCATCCGGATAAGAGGTATCCGCCAATCGTACGTCCTCAACACATCCGTTCAAGTTGTCGATGTACGAATCATTTATTAAATTGAATAAACGATAGATGAAAGTAAAGACAGCCCTAGTTGCGGTAGGGAAAGATCACGTTGATCATGGCGCGGAGCGGCGCCCACGCGAAGATGGTCACGTTTTCGCGTTCCAAGAGCGGCATGATGATGATGCAAGCTTGGTGGAAGACTTGGCAACAATGGTATACGCGAGATGGCGTGGGGAATGGAGCCAGGCAACGTGAGGCAGCGAAGCCCGCGACCATGAAGAAGTGTGTGGCCAACACGACTGGTTTCGGGGTGAGGGCGCTGAGGAGGCCAAGTGGGCCGGCCATGAAGAATCCGCCCATCTTCAAATACTCGTAGCACGATTCGCGAAGGGTCGCACGCGCAGCCAAGACAGCTTTGTCGACAACGTCATCGTCCGTTGAAGGCACGGAAAAGATATGGTAGAGGGCGTTGGCAAGGATGTTGACCGTCGACGAGTGGTGCACACGGTCCTGCTCGAAAGCGCGGCGGACAGCAGCGACTTCCTTGCCGCTAGACAGGTCGACGTTTTTGAGCAATTCATTCAGCAGCACAACATCCTTGAGAGCAACGCTCATGCCACCGCCAGTAAGAGGGTGGCGCATGTTGAATGTATCGCCAAGCATGACGACGCGACCGATATTGGCGGGTTGGGTGGTCATGAATTCGCGGTTCGGCATCGACTTGACGGGACCCGTTTCCACAGCACGAATGAACGCCGCGCGGGATGCCTCGGGAATTTGAGGGGCCACGTGGGACAGCAAGTGCTTGGTCAGGTCGCCGTTAGTAGACGAAGGAACTTTGCCAGGGACGTCGACAAGGACGCGCGTTTCGGTGGGAGAAATCTGGTACATGAGGATGGGCGAGGGCTGCGCAAGGATGACGTGGCCGAATTGGCGAAAGGGTACTGTGGCCTCCATAGCAGGGTGCGTCATGAGGAGTGCGACAAAGCTCGAGATCTGCTTGGGTTGGTCCTTGGACAAATCGCGGCGCAGACCGGACCAGAGCCCGTCCGAAGCAATCACCAACGGCGCCAATGCAGTTTCGACCGGCATTTCCACGTCGTCCGACGGGGACTTGCGGCGAAATTGAATGCCCTTGCACACGTTGCTCTGACTGCCCTTGGTCGTGGGTTCCAAGACGAGTTTGCTCACTGTGCCTTCAACTACAGTAATGTTGGGTTCTGCCAAAATGCGAGCGCGAAGACGTTGAACGAATGCGCCGTTGTGGAACCCGCGACCGTGCTGCTTCCCCGTGCCATTGTCGTTGCGAGTGAAGCCCATGTATTCGATGAGCGTCTTTGGGGCACAGTTGGGGTACGGCAGCATGATGTGATCGTGATGAGGACGGAGGATCGAATATCCGAGAGTTTTGACGTCCATGCTCGTTTCTGCGCAGTCAATCAAGTCCAACGAGCGCAACGCTTCCAACCCGCCAGGTTGCATGAGCTCTCCCACAAAGCGGTCCTGGTATTCCAAAGACTTTTCGACCACGAGGACTTTGCGTCCTTGTTTCGCCAATCCCATCGCGATCGAGCACCCGGCAGTACCGGCACCAACGACAATGACGTCTGCAGAGGGGTTGTCGATCTTGACATCAACGACGCATTGGCTTTCATGGAGAGTTTGGGTGACTGACCAAATGCAGCCGAGCCCAAGGAGGTAAAGCACGACAAAAATGGACACAGCCGAGGCGAGAGGAAACGAATGCACATCGAGTTCACCAACCGAGTTGAGGCGAAGGGAGGCGAGTCCCATACCACCCACGAGCAATGCCGACGCATTGAACGTTTGCAACAGCGACGCTCGAACTAGGCAGCAAGTCGAGAGGACCACGAGAAGAAGAGAGTAGAAGAGAGGCGAGTCCGCGAGTTGCTGGCACAAGATCGCAAACGAGTCCTGGAGAAGCGTGCGCATCGTCTCACTCAGGATCACAACCGAGCAGATCGCAAGAATCATGGGTGGTGCCGCTGCGTTCCAGGTGACGTTGACGCAGCGAGATTCCAAAATGTCGAAGGGCTGAACACCTGCGAATAGAAATGCGCATGCGTGTCGGTGTAACTCTCCCACTTAAGTGCGCTTTTGGCGCAGCCAACTTGTGAACGTTGTCAAGCTGTCCATTTTAAATGCGACATTCGAACATAAGCGGCATCGAAGGGCGACGATGTCACATGTGACTTCAGGGCATTTCTTTGTGGTGGCGCTTACAACTCGCCGCAAGGATGCAATGATTACAGTTCTCACGAAAGCGGTTGAACCCGTTGTTGAACTTGAAGACGTTAGCCGCGAGGGGATTCTACGTGTGAGATCATGCCAGTGGTGCTCGTTCAACACACTTCGAAAACTGCATCTGACGCAGAATTTAAAAAGCTGCATAACTAATTATTCCTTCCAGGCTATTGAATTTTTGTATCCTATGTAGATGGACCCGAGGAACAACTTTTTATTTTCACGTGGTATACACAAACTTCTCACTGGGACATGTCTAAGTCGAGGAGTGAGCAACCTTTAGCGCCGTCTCGATGTCTTGAACGAGGTCTTCGACGGACTCAAGGCCCACCGACAGCCGCAAGAGGTCCAGCGGAGCAGGCGACTCCACTCCTTCTACACTGGCCCTGTGCTCGATGAGGCTTTCCGTCCCTCCCAGCGACGTAGCTCGTTTCCATAGCTTGGTGTTGGCAGCCACAGTCAGTGCAGCAATTTCACCCCCTTTCACGCGAATGGAAATCATGCCTCCGTAGCCTCCTTGCATTTGGCGTGTGGCAATCTCATGCCCGTGGCAGTGTGGGAGACCAGGGTAGAGCACCGCGTCGACAAGAGGATGTGTGTTGAAGTGCTCCGCAATGATCTGTGCTGAAGCCGTTGCGGACCGCACACGCAAATGCAATGTGCGCATGCCTCGCAGGAGCAACCACGCTTCAAAGGACCCAAGAGTACCGCCAAGGGTCGTTCGAACTTGACGAACTCGCTGCCAATGCTCGTTGTCGATTGAACGCGTGGTGAGGGATCCAGCAACGACGTCGCTGTGCCCGTTGAGATACTTGGTCGCAGCATGCATGACAATATCGGCGCCGAAGGACAAAGGCGTTGTGAGAACGGGGGTAGCCACCGTGGAGTCGACAGCCAGCAAGGCGCCGGCTGCGTGGGCAAGATCGGCAGTCGCGGCAATGTCAGTCACAGTCCAAAGCGGGTTTGACGGCGTTTCCACCCACACTAACCGTGTCTGGCCTGGACGCACTGCAGCGGCGACAGCGTCGACGCTCGTCATATCGATGACCTCCACGTCCAGCCCCCACGATGCAGCATGCGTCGTCAGCCAGTTGCGCAAACTCCAGTACATTACTCTTGGAATCAACACGTGATCACCAGGCTTCAGAGCTAGGAACACAGCTGTGGCCGCCGCCATGCCGCTGGAAAAGAGTATTGTGTCGCTCCCACCTTCGAGGGTATTGATGACAGACTCGGGTTGATCGAATGCAGGATTGTCCGATCGGGCATACATGCGACCGGATCGGTACTGGTTGTCAGCATCGCGCTGGAAAGTACTGCTGACATGGATGGGAGGCGAGATAGCAGCCGTGGCTTTGTCCACCCATCCGAGAGCTTGAGCCGTCACGGTTTCTGGGGCCCATTCGAGGTGGTCAGGCAGTTGACTTGCATCGACCAGGTCATGCGTCGGCCACGAACTTGAAGCGAGCGAGCGGGACAACGGCCGATGCACGGACAGAGTATTCGCAAAGCCAGAAAAGCGCCGAGGGATGGGAAGGCGGCGCATCATGCTTGGGAATGTACAAATGTCGACTTGACTTCTTCGTTCATTCGACAGTGTGGCCGCATGATGGCACTGTTCAGGTGCTTCGGCCGTTGAAGGATCGACGTGCTGGAGCAAATGAGGAACCGCCAACCTCCAGTGTCATGGCGTTTGACCAATCGGAATCGCCGAATTTGTATGCACCATTTATCTTCGCTTTGATATGGTCTGCATCAGAGCGAAGGTTGAAGCTACTAGTAGTAGCTTCAACTATCTAGGTGTATACTACTAGTATACACCTAGATAGGTACGACGTTAACTCGCTCTACTAACAGAAAAGCATAGTACTACTGATTTCCCCCCGCTAACCGAACAGGGCAAATTTGATTATTTCTATAAATTTATAATATTGAATGTCAGAGGTATTTTCAAACTTTTGAACGCGTTCACGGCGGACAGCAATTCAAACGAGCCATGCCAATCAAAATGAAGTTGCGGATAACTCTTGTGGAGATGCGTGAGGTACATGCGAAGCATTTAAGCGAGCCGAATGTATCCTACTCTGCCCTGGCCTTGTGGGCAGCTCAAGCACTTGGTCTCGGATGCTTGTCGACAATGACCCGCCGCACTTGGTGTTGGAGACCACGCC